TGGGGGCAGGACAGAGGCCGGCGGGACGGTGGAGCCACCCAGGGAGCTCGTGGGGAAGTGGGGACCAAAGCCGCAGTGGCCAGGAGCCCTTCCTTGCCTTCCACGCCGCTCGCTCCTGCGGCACCTGAACTTGTCACCACGGTGATGGTGATTATCCTGACTTGAACGTCTGCCACTCGTCTCGATGAACGCTCGGTGCTGCAGGGAGAGGACAGGACGGGCTGCCCGGCTCACGTCGCGTGACCCAGGACTCAGCCCAGGGCCTGGCCCGTGGAAGGCGCCCAGAGGGCGTGTTCCGGGAACACAGCCTGACACCCGACAGCAGAGCTGTGGCCTGTCCAGGTCCAGTTCTTAGGGGTAGCAGGGGAGGCTCTGACATTGCTGCCACCTGCATGGGCGGCTGTGGAGGGGCAGGACCTCAGAGGTTTGGGTCCAGCGGCCGTAACCCAGCTCCAGCACCGGCGCTGGGAGACCGTGGGCAGTGACTGACCTCGCTGGACCCTGCCTCTTCACCTGGGCAGGAGGACAGGACAGTGGCCGCGTGGGAACGCTGGGGATCGCTGAGGTGACATGTTCCTGGCACCAGGGTGGTGCCCAGAGGGTGTCGGCCGCTGTATCACTCCAGGTGCTGTGGGCCGGGAGGCCACCAGAGTGACCCCACGGTGCCCGAGCTGCCCGGGCGGCAGGCAGACCCTGGACCACCCGCACCCCAGGGACAAGGGCCCTGCCTCACCACCTCCTGATGTACAGCGGGCATTAGGCTGCCCAAAGGGGACACTGCGTGCTTAGGAAGAAATATGCGCTCGTTTTTCTTAAACACCGTTTCCACTGAGTGAAATGTTTGGAAGGGACGCGCAGGGAGAACTTTATTTCCTACCAGGGAGTTCAGAGCCACCAGGCAGAGCCCATAAAGCACCCGAGCCCGGTGGCTGACAGGCCGCCCAGCCTCGCAACACATTACTCACGGGCGGGGAGGGGCGGCCAGGCCTGCCCAGGCCCTGGGGACTGGCCCCCCAGACTGCCCACCCCCCACTGCCAGGCAGGACAAGCAAATGCGAGACCTGAGCCGTGGGCGCTGCAGCCCTGGTCCCTGAGCCCGGGGCAGGGGAAGGCCTGGCCCTGAGCAGGTGAGGACCGGGAGCTGTTGGAGCGCCCTAACATCTAGTCTCCAGAGACCAGGGGCGAGGGGCCCAGGTGCGGCTGCAGGAGCGCCCGCCCCCCAGAACTGGCAGGAGCCCGGCCTTCCCCAGCCTTTGGAGGGAGAGACGCGATCCCTGCCAGAACAGGCCCTTCTCCTGAGACCCTCCCTTCATTCGATTTCTGAAGCTGGCTGATTTGAATATTTATAAATATCAGTAAATTATTTATTGTAGCAATCTGCTGCACCATTTTACCCATCGCAGTTAACACTTTAGGGGGCTCTGTGTTAGGGGAACCGGGAGTGGGGGCGAAGAGGAGATGGGCGCACAGGCCCGGGGCCTCCTCCAGCCCACCCGGGAGCCTTCATCGCGGGGACGTCGTGGGGCACCCCCCCGGCTCCAGGATCAGTTTCCCCCCCTTTCGGCTGGGACAGTGACAGCACCTGCTGCGCTGGCTCCTGACGACCTGAGACAGGGCCTGAGAAGGGACACGGGGTCCAGCCTCGCCGCCCCTGTCCCCGCCCTCAGCAGGATCCACTCAGAGACCAGAGCTGCCTGCTGAGGGCTTGTTGGGTCAAAGCCCTGGGAGGGAAGGGTCAGACCTAGGGAGCCAGGGAGGGGGCCCTGGCGACTGGGAGAGCGGCCTGCACCCCCCAGCCCAGCCCTCTTTCCTCTCTCCCCTGCCTCCTCCGGCCAGGTGAGGTTTCCTGGCCTCAGGATCCTGTGCCCAGGTGTGGCACCACAATGGCCTATCTGTCTCCTCCTGGGACTCAGCTGCCTTGCCCCAGGTCCTCGCCAGGCCCTGTGCTTGGCGCAAACAGACACCCTCTCTCCTTACAGTCCTGCAGCCCTGTCGTGGGGAGAAGGCTTGCCCAAGGGGCCGAGCCAGGCTGGGAACCCATGACTGCCAGACCCCAGGGCCGGGCCCTAACCACAGTGCCGGGCCCCCCTGCCAGGCTCCCCCAGCCGTCCCAGAGCCGCTGGGCCAGAGCGGGGAGGCCCAGGCCAGCCCCTGTGTGTGGGTACCGGCCCTGCTGCCGTTCCCAGGCCTGGCCAGGCCCCACAGCTGCCTGCCCCTCACCTCAGGGGGGCGCCCATCCCTGGGTAAGTGGCACGGGAGTCCCCCCACAGCCCCGCCTTCCGCTCTCCAGCCCAAGCCGGCCTCCTGGGCAGTATTGTTCCCAGAGGAAGTGTCCAGTGTAAATAGAGCCTCGGGCAGCCTGGTGGTGGGAAGGAGATGAAAGGGGCCGTGACAGGGCCGGGGACGGATGGCTTCCTCCCATTGAGGCCCGGCCACGGCGTTTATATTTTAGGGAAGAAAGTCGGGGAGTGTTTACATGGACCGGAGCCTGGGGTCAGACCACAGGGGGCCAGTCTGCAGGTCCCAGGACCCTGCTGGACAAGGCAGGGGGGAGAGAGGCCCCCCGGGGTGGGTGGGCAGGCAACTTGAACCTCAGATCTGACACCCCCACCCCCGTCGGCTGCCCCTGCCTCTCCTCAGCCTCGCACACGTTCCCACTTACTGAGGAAGGCCACCCTCTGCCTTCTGCCCTGTGCCCACACGCCTCCTCCACCCTCGCCGCTGGGACCCGCAGCAGAGTCAGAGGGAGGGCAACATCTGGGAGGCAGGTGGCCTGGGGCAGAGCCGCAGCTGGAGGGCAGGTGGAGGGGGTGTAGGTGGAGCAAAGGGGCCTGCAGGCTGGGGGTGGGCCCTGGGTGCACAGCTGCTTTGCAGCTGGTGGGGGCCCAGGAGGGACCAAGCCAGGCGCACAGCGGAGATGGAGATCGGAGAGGGTGGGCTGGGCGGGGTGGGCCCAAGAGCCGGGAGGCTCCAGGATGGGTGGGGGCCCAGGGAGGGGGTGTCACCAGCAGCAAGTGCGGCCCTGGGAGCTTCTGCTTCCCTCTTCCCCAGGATAAATATTTATAGATTCACTTGCCGTCTGCCATACACACTTGGCTGCTTACCTCCCAGTAAAAATAGAGCAGGCTTCCCCACGCCCACCCTTCCCTTCCCCACCAGGGCAAAGGGACAAAGGGGACCAGGTGAGGCCTGCTCTGTTCTCCAGAGGCCAGCTGGAGGGGACTCGGTGTCACGGCGCCTGACGGCTGGCCTGGAGGTTGGGTGAGATGTGTGGTCAGGGGCCCGTCACTGAGCTCTGAGAAGGAGCCCACGCCGGCACTCGGAGACCTGGGTGTGGGCCGCGCAGACTTGGCGATGCGGACACACGTGGGCAGAGTGGGTGTCCGGTTTGGGCAAGGGTGGGGCTCCGGAGGCAGGGCCCCAGGACTGGGAGGACCGGAGTGAGCCGAGGCGACCCTTCCCTGACGCTGGGCTAGGCTGGGATCACCGAGCCCCTCTGGGCCAGGTGAGGCCATCCACAGAGCTGGCTTCAAGGGAAGGAGCCGGGGTCGCTGGGCTTTGTGTCGGGGACAACTGTCCGTGTGTATGAACCGAGTCTGCCATGGGCGGGCACGGGTGTGGCCCCCCTGCCTGGCTGTGCCCCTCAGTGGGCGTCCAGGCGCCGGGGGTCTCAGGGTGTGGATTCGTCTCGGTGAACCCTCCTCAAACCATGGACCAGGGAGCAGAGTGCCTCCCCTCATGTAGCCTTTGGACCCATGTGGACACTGGGCCCTGCCCACCCCAGCGGGGGACACGTGAGGGCGTGCTGACGTCAAGAAGCCCTGCGTGGCTCCCATCGCAGGGGTGGTATGAGCCGGGAGTGTGCTTGTGGTGGCCGCCACCCCGCCCCTGCCCTGCCGCAGGGACGCAGGGCACGGCGGGCTCCCTCAGTGGGCGGAGGGGCAGGCAGGCGGGCAGGCAGTGCCCGGGTGAACACTCGAGTGTGCGTGCGTCCTCTTGGCCCGTGTGGCAGGTCCCAGGCTGTATGGTGACCCTGGGCGGCCTGCTCAGCAGCCACAAGAGACGTGGCTGGCCCTCAGGCAGAGCGGCGGGGTGTCTGCGTTGGGCTGTCTCGTTCAGGGATTAGGTGCAACCTCGGCCTCTCAGGGCTGGGAAGTGGGCCTCTCCGGCCGGGCCGGGCCCTCGGGGCTGCAGGCAGAGGGCAGAGCGAGGGCCTCGGGCAACTGGGCAGGGACGCAGTTGCCCTCAGACCGCCCCGCCTGAGGCCTAGACACAGGGAGGTGATGGGGAGTGGCCAGAGGAGACAGGAAAGGGCCAGCGAGAGGTCAAGAGGACCCCGACGAGGAAGGCTGCAGAAGAGGAGGCCTTCGGGCTCTCCAGAGAGCAGAGGTTGGAGTAGGTGGGGCCCAGGGAGGGGGCGGGCCAGGCAGAGCAGCGGCCACCGAGGGCTGGTGGGACTGTGAGGCGGAGGTTGGCACACTGCTGCCTGGCTCCCGGCCGCCCCGTCCGCAGCAGGTCGTGGGTCGATGCCAGGCCGTTTTCACCTGCCAGCTTGGCCCCACCGCCCCTCCTGAGCCCAAGTGCCCCCTTCGCCCTGGCTGGGGCCTGGCCGGGCTGTCTCTCAAAGCAGGCGCCTGGGGCCGCACAAATGTAGGAAGTGCTTCCAGGAACCAGGCGCTGGGCAGAAGGCTGCTCCGTGTGTTTGAAGAGTCATGTGTCCGTCCGTTCACTCATTCACAAGACACTCCTCCAACCAGCAAGTGTGCCCGGCTGGGTGCCAGGCCCTGGGATGGAGCGATGGGGGAGCTCGGCCCCCCGAGCTCCCAGTCCAGTGAGGGGTCCCAGCGTGCGGCTGGGCAGTCTCAGGGCAGTGTGCCGGAACCAGGGCTGGGAAGACCTTGGGCTTCGGGGCTGTGGGGGCACAGCCTCCGCCCCAGCTGTGGGGGTAGGCGGCCACGTACCCCAGATGCAGGCTCTGACCTCTCTCTTCGTCTCCGCAGCTGAAGGCACCCGGTGCACCGACCCGCCCACAGGCAAGCCCGCGATGGCAACCAAGCGCAAAGGCGGCCTGAAGCTCAACGCCATCTGCGCCAAGCTGAGCCGCCAGGTGGTAGTGGAGAAGGGGGCAGAGGCTGGCGCCCACACCGAGGGCAGCCCACGGAGGCCCCAGGACAAGGAGCGCGGTGGCGCTGAGTCGGGGGTGGCCCGGGCCCCCCGCAGCGAAGAAGACAAGAGGCGGGCGGTGATCGAAAAGTGGGTCAACGGGGAGTACAGTGAGGAGCCGGCCCCCACTCCCATGTTGGGGCGGACTGCCCGCGAGGGCCTGGAGCTGCCGCCCGAGGGCGTGTACATGGTGCAGCCGCAGGGCTGCAGCGACGAGGAGGACCACGGCGAGGAGCCCCCCAAGGATGGTGGCCCGGCCGCTGAGAAGGACATGGACAGGGTGGCCTCCAAGGATGACGGTGGCCCCAGCACCAAGCAGGCGTCAGGTGGGTGTCTGAAGCCCCCAATGGGACATACCCTGGTGGGGAGGCCCAGCGGTGAAGGAGTGGTGTGTCCACAGAGCACGCCCGCCTCCTGCACACACTCTTGTGGCAAACACGGGTGCCTCGTTCCGACCCAGGCTGACTCCTGAGGAGGGTGGGCCGGGGCCACGCTGATGCCTAGAATGGGGACACGGGGTGGGCAGGGGTGGGGATGAAGCCCCCAGGGCGAGAAGGGCAGGACCCGAGAAGGCATCTGCCCAAGTGTGAGAGCAGGGCCAGGGGTGGGGGCTGCCTAACACACAGTGGGTCTTCAGGAAGCAACAGATGGGGGAGAGGCCGGTGGGTGGACAGGTGGGCGGAGGGATGGACGGGCAGTGTGTGGGCAGAGGACCACACACTCGTGTGGGAGGAGCCTGTTGGTGCGGGGCGAGCGTCTGGGGTGGAGCGGAAAGAGCGTCACTGACCACTGGAGCTGGCTGTCTGCAGTCCTTCTCCAAGTGCCCGAGGACAGGCCTGGTCTCCCGCTCTCCCCCCATCTCTCTCCCACCGCCTCCTCCACAGGGATCCCAGCTGTCCCTGGCAGGACCTCTCGGGCCAGGCACAGGGCCACAGGGTGGCCCAGCCCAAATATCCCATTACCCCCTCCTGCCCCGGACACGCTCCTCTGGCTGACCTCTTTTCCCCGAGGTGGCCAAGGCCCGGCCTCTCTGGTGTCTGCTCGTCCTTAGAGTGGCCCTAAGCTGCTTCCGCCGGGTGGGGGTGGGGGTGGGGAGGAAGCCTGGGGTCCCAGGTGGGAAGGGGTCACCCCTGGGACTGGAACCCCAGGATTAGGGGTCTTTTCTCAGCTCCCCAGCCTCCTTGCCAGGAGGCTGCCCAGGGCCCCCGTGCCCGCTCCCCTGTCCCCTTCCCCCTGCAGTGAGGGGCGCATCTCCTCCCTGCACAGGGAGCCCTGCACAGCCACATAATTATGCATATAAGATATAAACAGAGCTGTTTAATTATCCTTCGCCACATCAGTGACAGAGTAATTAACAAACATTGCAAGATCAATGAGGAAAAGTGTGACCTTCAGTCTCCTCTGATAGGAAAAGCCCTTGCCAGTCCCAGACACAAGGTGATCGCGCTGGGCCTGAGGACAGGGGCGGGACGGGGGCGAGGGCGGCTGTCCCTTCAGCGTCTGGCCTCTCCCTCGCCCCTCTCCGCCCTGGACTCCTACCTCCAGCCTCCTGCCCTGTGGGGGTGGGGGGCTGAGATGACCGGAGGCAGGGCCGAAAATACCTCGGCCCCTTGGCCCCAGACCTCGCTTCTCTGGCTGGAGGCCCCGGGGGACAGCAGTGTGTCACCTAGGTGGGCTTGCTCAGCGCTGGGCCCTGCAGAGAGCCAGACAGGGCCCTAGCTACCCACCACGGGCTTCGCCCCCAGCCACCTTCCCTGGGCCCTGGGGCTGGGGGATACAGGCCGGTGGGCCGTCCCCGGGACCCCTGCCTGGCCCCCCCCCTGCTCGGAGCCGCCTGCCCTTCAAAGCCTTCTGTTCCCCTGCCATATATAGTGAGGGCTCAGCTGCCTCCAGCTATTTTTAGCCCCTTTTCCTGGTCCCTGAGCCACTGAGTCTAACAGGGAGAGCCCACTCCTCCCAGGTTGGACCTCAACCCCACCCGCCTAAGGTCAGGACAGCAGCCCCCAGGCCACCGCCCTACCCCGACCCCCAGGGAACCGCTGTCCCGTCTGCTCTCTGAGTCGCTCTGCCCACCTCTGGTCACTCCCGGGCCAGGTGCTGCCCAGGACTGTCCTCTCTTCCCCTCCTGGGGCTCCAGCTCTCCCAGGACAGCTCTCCCCGACCCCCAGGACCTCAGAGCCCCTCTTCCCACCACCTGCTGGGTTTCCTCTTTGCCCAAGCCTTGCCTTGCTCTGCAAGACGGACTTCAGGTGTGGTCTGAGAACCCCAGACCTGACAGGTTGGGGTGGGATTAAGAGGAGACCCCCGCACCTGCTCCCCTGCCTGAGTCCTACCCCTCTCCCCGCTTCTTTGGCCACACCTTCCCCAACTGTGCTGTTAGGACCCCAGTGTGGGTGTGCTGGCTCCGGCACAAGGGGAGAGGACGTGCACACCTGCCGTGGCCTGGTGGGGCTCACCCTCCTGTGCACCCCCGTCCCCGATTCGGGGTGGAGCACAGGGTGGGTCCAGCGTCATTGGTGCAGGAAGCGGTGCCTTATACGTGCTGAGGAGTCATTTGCCTGCGGGGTGGACGATTGTGTGTGGAAGGCAGGGCCCCCAGAGAAAAGCCCAGGGAGCATCTGGTTGTCCTGCCTCCTGCCACCCTGAGACAAGTCTTGGGGAGCTGGGTGTGGGGTCTGGGCAGAGTACGTGCATCTGTGAAGTGGGGGTGGAGGCGGGAGGCGAGCTCAGTGGTGAGTGTGAGCACGTGTACCACTTGGGCAAGCAGGAGGCTGGCCACACTCCGGCCGCTGCCCTAGGCTCGCAGGGCTGGCCTCTCCGGCCCTGACTCCACAGGGGGCCCACTGGGCATGAGCACAAGTGACCAGAGGGTGACGGGAGGGTCGAAGGGCCGGTAGATCTTGGCTGCAGTGGGGGTCCCAAGCGAGTCCAGACGAGCACGGTGGCAGTATCTCTGCCCCCTTGGCCTGCTCTCTGGGACCGTTAGTGACCTGGGGCTCTGGGGCCAGAGAACAGGTCCACCCAGATATAAGATGCCAGTGTGTCACTTATGAGGACCTCGGAGGGTCCCCCAGGCAGGTTGGCCAGGCCCCCGGCCCCACCCACAGTGGCTCCCTCACCTGCCGGCCCAGCCACAGGCCCGCGTCCCCACCTGTCCCTGGCCCCAGCGTCACCCCCACCCCCGGAGGCAGGTGGGGGTCTGGCCTTCCTTCCAGTAAAACGACTTCCCTTTCCTATTCGGCCAGAGCGAGAGCGCAGAGACATTTATGAAACTTTGTTTAATGTACTGAAAAGCCATCGGCCAGAACATTTAGGAAATTGATTTTCCTGGCATTGATGAACTCGTTTTATTTTACCCCAGTATTAATTACTTTTTTTTTAAACAAATTAATTTAAGAGTCGTAAAACCTAACAAGTGAGCCAAATGTCCATAGATCATGTCTCACTCCGCCCCCTCCCCACCCAGGCCCCTCCTCCCTCCGTAGTGGGGGCTCGGGGCTCACACACTTGGGGGGCTCCCCCGCGCCCTCCCATAAGTGACCACCCGCCCTCGCTGCCCTAGGAGAGGCCTCCGCCCTGCGGGACTACGCGGCCACCACCATGACCGAGTTCCTCGGCATGTTTGGCTACGACGACCAGAACATGCGGGACGAGCTGGCCAGGAAGATCAGCTTCGAGAAGCTGCGGGCCGGCCCCACACCCGAGGCGGCCACCTCCTCCACGCTGCCCGCCGCGGAGGATGCGCTCAGCAAGCGGGCTCGTTTCTCCAAGTACGAGGAGTACATCCGGAAGCTGAAGGCGGGCGAGCAGCTCTCCTGGCCGGCCCACGGCACGAAGGCGGAGGATCGCGTCGGCAAGGAGGCAGTGGGCCCCCTGCCCGGCCTGCGGCTGCCCAGCAACACCGCGCACCTGGAGACCAAGGCCACCATCCTGCCGCTGCCCTCGCACGGCAGCGTCCCCATGCAGAGCCTGGCGGCCCGGGCCTCCAAGTACGACTTCTTCATCCAGAAGCTGAAGACGGGCGAGCACCTGCGGCCCCAGAACGGGAGCACCTACAAGAAGCCGTCCAAGTACGACCTGGAGAACGTCAAGTACCTGCACCTCTTTAAACCCGGGGAGGGCAGCCCGGACATGGGCGGGGCCATCGCCTTCAAGACCGGCAAGGTGGGCCGCCCCTCCAAGTACGACGTCCGGGCCATCCCAAAGCCGGGCCCTGCCAAGGTGCCGCCTGCTCCCAGCCTGGCGCCTGCGCCCCTCGCCAGCGTGCCCAGCGCCCCCAGTGCCGCCGGCCCAGGGCCCGAGCCGCCCGCCTCCCTGCCCTTCAGCACTCCCGAGTACCTGAAGTCGGCCTTCTCCAAAACGGACTCCATCACCACGGGGACCGTCTCCACTGTCAAGTAAGGCCCGCCCTGCCCCCTTCCCCCCCAGCACAGGCCCTGCCTTCAAAGCTCATGTTTGTGGACACACACTCACACCTTATGCACATCTGCACGCACCCATGCATGCTCACGTTCTCACACGTGGGCTTCCACTCATGTGTGTGCCCACCCACACCCAGCTTTGTGCCTCTGCCTACGTGTCCTCGCACACCCAGTTGATGGCCTCGCACACTATGCATATGCTGCACGCACACGCTCGCACACACTGGGCACGTCCATGCGAGTGCTCACACCTGCCATAGACCGCCGTCACCCTCTGTCTCTACCTGAGACAGGCTTTCCCCGCCTGCAGCCTCCAGGGCCAGGGCCAGGCTGTGGGTGTCTGGGAAAGCCCTGCTCTGGGTTGGGGGTTCAGGGGTCCAAGCCTGTGGCCATGGCTCCCGGGTCCAGCACCTGGGCCATGGGAAAGGCAGCAAGAGAAGGCAGAGTCTGGGGCGGGCCACTCGGCAAGAACGCCCAGGCCAGTGAGTCTCAGTTGGTGTGCCCCAGGGATTCCTAAAACATGCAATGCTTGATACTTAGGGCCACTGACCTCTTTTCCCCTAGAGTGTCAAATAAAAAAATGGCAACAGCCAGCACAGCAATAGCCATCCGGTGTGACTGAATTAAAACGACACCTATGTTTTTCTCAGATCAGCAATATATATATGTGTGTGTGGGTGTGCCACAGAGTTTTAATAGTCAGTTCGTGTGTGCCGAGAGGTGGAAATGGCTGAAAATCGCCACCCTAGGCAGTGGTGAAACGGTTGTGCACAGATCTTACGGGGCTGAAGGAGACCCTCTCTCTCCCCCAACCCAGAGATGGGCCACAGACCTGGGGGCAGACCCAGGGGGCCACCCTTGGCGGAGCAGGGGCCTTTCAGAGCATCCAGCTGCACTTGCCCCTCCCTGACGCGCTTCCCAGTGATGCCCGGTACCCTCTTCAGCCAGCAGCTTCCTGTCTCCCAGTGTGCGAGGGGCGTCAGGCACAGAGGGTCAAGGCCCTCAGGCCAGTGAGACTGGGCCGGGCCCATGCCCCGGTGCCAGGAGCTGTGCCAGCCCTGCCAGCTTGAGATCCTTGCTGGAGCCGAGCTCGTGGGACCCATGCCAGACGACAGCCAGAGGACTTGCCCCCGAACAGCGCTGAGCCAGGGAAAGAAGGGCCAGGGCCCCAGGGCAGGGAGCTGCCCCCAGACGCTCCCGGGGCGTGAGGCCACCCCTGTCCGCTAATCGGCTGTGCCCTGTGTGTCTCTCGCCAGGAACGGATTGCCCACAGATAAACCAGCTGTCACCGAAGATGTAAACATTTACCAGAAATATATTGCCAGGTAGGCCCCAGGGGAGGAGCCTGCCGTGGAGAGAGGCGGGGGGCTCCAGGAATGTCTGGGGGCCGTGGGACCCTACGTCCGTCCGACCACCCATGCCAAGGTGCCTGTTGCCCCCTGTCCCCACACGCTCCTGCCCCAAACTGCCCTCCCCCTGGCCTCCGAGGCCCCAGCCCCTGGCTGTGTCAGGGTTGCCTGTCCTAGGCAGCAGCAGTCCAGGCGGGACAGGGACCTGCAGGGCCCCGTCACGGGCGAGTGCTGGGCCCCCTCCACAGCCCCCTGGGTGGGTGCAGGCCGCTGTGGAACTGGCCAGAATAAGAGCAGGTGGCCTCCCGGGCCCCGGGGCCAGGCCTTGACCCTCTGCACCTGACTCCAGACCTGCCCCTTTGCATCCCTAAGGCAGCAGGATGGGCAGGTGAAGGACCTTCACCTGCACAGACTCCCCCGCATCAGGCCCCCGGCTGCGGGGGTGGAGCCCTGGCAGCCGTCTTTCTGCTGACCCTCCCGGTTCCTCGTCCCTCTCTGTCTCCGCCTCCCCATCCTCCTCTGTCTTTTCAGTTTTGCTCTGCTCTCTTTATTATTATTATTACCATTATTATTAGTGCCTCAGCAGATGGCCTTTTTGGCAGCTTCAGCTTAAATATTTATTTGCAAGTGGCTCTCCCCCTTACGAGGGGGTTTCTTGTAAGGAGGGTTTTCTCACTGTGCCCCCCAGCCCCATGCCTTCCTCGCCAGGAAGGCGGGCTGCACCCAACACCTTCCTCACAGTTGTCATGGCAGGTCCTCCCTGGGGGACCGTCCCGAGGCCCCGAGAACTGCTCCCACAGCATTGGGGCCTGGGGAAGGCAAGGGCTCACGGGAGGTGGGCAGCCGCCAGGCAGCTGGAGCTCCTGGCTGCAGAGTGAACTCCCTGCCTCGGGAAACCAAACAGATGCCATGCTTTAAAAATTCATAACTCTGCACTGTTTCAAGTGTCAGGAAAGCCCAGGACAGAGAGAGCCCTCTGCCATCGCTCGGCAGCAGAGCCCTGGGCCGGCTCAGCCAGGGTCCCGGCACCTGGGCCAGTGCTGGGTGGGGGGGCGGCACCTACACAGAAGGCGGCTGGGCCACCTCGGGGCTCCCGCCCTCACCGTCTCCTCCAGTCCCGTCTCAGTCTCGTCCCCGTCTCTGCTGCGGCTCTTGGCCAGCCCCAGCTTCTCCCTGCCCAGGTCGGGCCGGGCCCTGTGCCTCACCTGGTAGTCAGCCCCAGACCAGCTGCGCTCCCAGGACGGATGCCACGGGTCTGCACCTCGACGGCTCTAGGCTTCCCGACAGGCTCGGTCACTGGTCCTGGCCTTCTCGGGCCTCCACCGTGTCACCCCGGCACGCCACCTCGACCCCCCACACACCCACTCTGCCCTCGCACAGGGCCTGGAGCACTTCTCTGGGGTGTAGGCATAGACTCTTCTCCGCTGCTTGGGCCGGTGCCCAGCGAGGTCTGAGCCTGCCCCTGTCCGCAGGTTCTCCGGCAGCCAGCACTGCGGCCACATCCACTGTGCCTACCAGTACCGCGAGCACTACCACTGCCTGGACCCCGAGTGCAACTACCAGGTAAGGTCTCTCCCGGGCACGGCAGCCGGCGGGGGGCCACCCAGAAGTGGGTCAGGCACTCCGCTCCAGCCACGTGAACGGAACTCAGGGAAGCCGCCCGCCTGTCCGTGCTCCCAGGTTCCTGCCCACAAGGCATCTAGTAGGGACCGGAGCCCCCGCATCCTGGTGGTACTGATTCAAGTTCCCGTCCCTTGAGTCCGCCGTGCACCCAGGGCTGTGCCAGGCGGCCAGGCATCTTGTCCCGTCCATCGTCCCCATGCCCACGGGAGGCTGGCAGCACTGCCCCAGTGTGTAGAGATGATATAACGTGGAAGTGCAGGTGCATTGTCACTCACATACAAAGCTGCCTGCTGGCGAGTTCAGGGCTCAAGGAAGGGATGGGAGTGAGGCAGTCCGCACAGGGGACCCTCCCTGTCTCACCAGGGAGCCCAGCTGGTGTAGCCCACAGGTGGCTTGAGGCTAAAGGAGGGGTCACCGCCAGAGTCCCCCGGAAAGGCTTGGTCCGGTTCATCTGCTCTGCTCCTGGGCAGGGCGGATGGGAGCCCAGGGGGAAGACAGGGAAGAGCCGTGTTTCTGGAACCTTTGGAATCCTTCCCTCCCGGGTCCAGTGTGCTGGCCCGGAGGCAATCCCAGCTGCCCAGACCCCCAGCAGGGTTATTCACAGGGAGACCGGAGGGCCCCGGGGCGGGCAGCTGGCCTGGCGCGCGTGGCCTGGGGGCAGGCCAGGCCGCCGCCAACCTGGCCCCCTCCCGGCAGCGGTTCACGAGCAAGCAGGACGTGATCCGGCACTACAACATGCACAAGAAGCGGGACAACTCGCTGCAGCACGGCTTCATGCGCTTCAGCCCACTGGACGACTGCAGCGTCTACTACCACGGCTGCCACCTCAATGGGAAGAGCACCCACTACCACTGCATGCAGGTGCCTGCCCAGGGCGGGAGGAGGGCAGGCGCGTGCGGAGTGGAGTCCCGGGGGCTCGGACGCCCCCGGACGCGGGCAGTGGCTGGGGGGCTGGGGCAGGGCCCTGCCCATGGCCATACTTGGTGCGGGCGAAGCTCAGCCGGCTGTTTACACAGACCGACATTTTTCAGGCTTTAACACCCAGAGCAGCGTTGCAAATGGTTCCTGAGGAGGTTTTTGTTTAATTCTTTGTTTTAATGCCACGCGGAGTCTGGGCTTTTTCAAGGTGTCAGGTCCAGGGGGAGCGACTTCGGGTTGCAAACAGCAGCCGCCGTGCCTCCCCCGGTATTTGCCGGGGTTGTTATGGGCTCCGGGGGACAACCTGGGCCGGGCGGGGAGGGGGGCTTGCTCGGCGGGCTCTGAGATGGTGCAGATGCTGGCACGGCCTGGCCTGCGCCCACGCTCGGATTCCGCTGGTTTTTACTCAATATGGCCACATTATCTGCCTGGGCCCCACTGGGGTGGGGGGGCCCGATGCCAGGAGCCGTCCACTAAATGAGTCCCTGGGCTAAAGGTGACTGGCAGGCCCCAGGGTCCAGCCCTGCCTACCCCTGGCGGCTTTAGAGGTAGGGTCATAGTTGGGACCCCAAAAGCACTTCCTGGGGGCCGGGGCCGCCATGCATATGCAGCGGGCTGTCCTGGGTCCCTGAGGACGGGCTGACCCTTGGCCCAGGCAGGGCCAGGCCCTGGCTTTGGTTAGAGGTTTTCTCCTATGGCTCCTAGTGAAGCTCTTGGCCTCCCCGGCCGGGTGTGCACAGGTGCGGGAGCTCCCCCGAGCAGGGCGGTCAGTGGTCCGCCGCCCCCAGGCCCCGGCCGCATCCGTCAGGGCGGCCGTGCTGACCTCAGCCCAGGTGGGCCTGGCCGCCGTCCCCCTGACGGCCATCCTGGCCCCTGCAGGTGGGCTGTAACAAGGTGTACACAAGCACGTCAGATGTGATGACCCATGAGAACTTCCACAAGAAGAACACCCAGCTCATCAACGACGGCTTCCAGCGCTTCCGAGCCACCGAGGACTGTGGCACGGCCGACTGCCAGTTCTACGGGCAGAAGACCACCCACTTCCACTGCAGGTAACGGTGGGGAGTGGCCAGGGAGACTCACTGGCCTGGGGGAGGGAGGGACAGGAGGCCGGGAACCAGGCCCAGGGGACAGGGAGCAGGGACAGGAGTAGACGGCGGCTCAGAGGCCCCGTCTCCGTGTCCTGCCGCGTCTTCCATGGGAGGCCCAGGCCTCCTGGGCCCTGGTGGGAGCGGAGCGGGGCCTCCTCCCGGCCCCACGCGACCCCATGACAGGCTCCCGGTGTCCCATCCAGGCGCCCTGGCTGCACATTCACCTTCAAGAACAAGTGTGACATCGAGAAGCACAAGAGCTACCACATCAAGGACGACGCCTACGCCAAGGATGGCTTCAAGAAGTTCTACAAGTACGAGGAGTGCAAGTACGAGGGCTGCGTGTACAGCAAGGCCACCAACCACTTCCACTGCATCCGCGCCGGCTGCGGCTTCACCTTCACCTCCACCAGCCAGATGACCTCGCACAAGCGTAAGCATGAGCGCCGGCACATCCGCTCCTCGGGCGCGCTGGGGCTGCCGCCCGCGCTGCTGGGCGCCAAGGACACCGAGCACGAGGAGTCCAGCAACGACGACCTGGTGGACTTCTCTGCCCTGAGCAGCAAGAATTCCAGCCTCAGCGCCTCCCCCACCAGCCAGCAATCCTCTGCCTCCCTGGCTGCTGCCACGGCCGCCGCCGAGGCCGTGCCCAGCGCCACCAAACCTCCCAACAGCAAGATCTCGGGGCTGCTGTCCCAGGGCCTGCCCGGCTCCATCCCGCTGGCGCTGGCCCTCTCCAACTCAGGCCTGCCCACCACGGCACCATACTTCCCCACTCTCCCCGGCCGCGGGAGCGCCTCCCTGCCTGTGGGCACCCCCGGCCTCATGGCCGCCATGTCATCGGGGGCAGTGGCCTCGGCAACCGCTGACACACCCACTCTGGCCACCTCGGGAGCTGGCGACTCAGCCCCAACCGCTGCCACCTCTGTCTCTGCGCCCCCCGCCTCCATCATGGAGAGGATCTCCGCAAGCAAGGGCCTCATCTCGCCCATGATGGCCAGGCTGGCTGCAGCCGCACTCAAGCCTTCTGCCACCTTTGACCCAGGTGAGCAGGCTGGGCCCTGCCCGGGAAGCAAGCACCTCGCAGACCCCAGGCACTCCCTGGCCTTGCGGTGCAGGGCAGAGGAGGGGGCGTGTTTGGCCGAGGCCTCTTTCTGCCCCCTCACCCCAGCCCTTTGCCCCTCCAGCCCTCCCTGTGCCTCAACCCCGCCTCCCTCCTGTTTGCTTCCTGTTGGGGCTCTCATTCTGACCCGCCCACCCCAGGCAGCTCTTGCTTCTGCCTCCTCATCGGTGAAGCAGGGGCGACCGTCCCTCTGTGCATGCCTGCACCCCGGTCTTCTCACCCTGCTGGGTCAGAGGCACCAGCCCAGCCCTGAGGGGGGCAGTCCCAGAGCCCCAGTTTTCCCTGGAGCTTCCTCCAGGTGACATGGCGAGGTACCAGTCCAGCCCAGGGGCGGCGACACTTCAGGAACACTCAGGGAGATTCGCGCCTGGACGGCCCCTCGGGGCTGGGGACGCCTCCCCGGCTCTGCCTCTCTGCCCGCCCTGTCCAGTAGAGCTCTCTGCAGCAACCGACAGGTTCCGGCCTGCGCTGTCTGCCTGGCAGCCATGAGTCGCACTTGTCTGCAGGGGGTTAAATATGGCGAGTGTAACCAAGGAGCCGGGCGCAATTGGAATTTCTTTCATTTCAGCCGGATCATCGGCTCCCACGTGTCGGGGCTGTGGAGCCGGTCACATCTCTGTCCCCCGCTGGCTTGCCGTGAGGGGCGGTCCTCCGTTTTCTCATGTTTTCTGCTTTTCTAAAATTGTTTCTGCCTTTTCCCTCGGGGTTTTATTGGTTTTGGGGTTTTGGGGGGTTTTTTTTGGCTTCTGGCTCACTTCATTCATTCATACATTCAACACCCACCGGTCTTGCTGAGGGCCAGGTGCCCAGAGGGTGCGGCACGGTGGGCAACAAGACGGACAAAGGTCCCGCCTGGCGGAGCTGATGGAGCAGTCTGGGGACAGTCTGTTTTGGGGCACAGAGCTAGAAGGCGGTGAAGCAGCGACCCGGACCTCAGCAGCCTGGCTTCCCCGCGAGACCGTCTTGAGACTGGCCAAGACTGAGGGTCACGGTGGCCCAGACCTCCCAGAGGGCTGCCAGGGCTTCCCAGGGCGGCTGGGTCCTCTTTCCTTGGGGACCTTGGGCGGTGACTTTGGGGAGCTGCTGGAATGTGGACACTCCGAATTCAGAAGACCGTGGTGTCCCCACTGGGCCGCTCCTATCAGCTGGCAGCTTGGGGAACCGGGGGTGGCCGGGGCCACGCCCCTCTGGCCAGGTGCCTGCAGGCGGGGGTGGGGCCCCTCCAAGGCCACACTGCGCTCCGTGGCCAGACTGCCAAGTACTTCCTTTTCAACAGAAAAATCTCCTTTCCCCAAAAGAAAGGTCAAGCAAAGAGGAAGAGGGCTTGTTTTCCTGTATTTTTTTAATAAAATGCCACTTGCCGTCCATGAAGCAGCGCTCTGTCAGCTGCAGTGCCTGGGGGCAGATTAATATTTCAGTCACTTGGGGATTGTGGAGAAAGGCTGGGTGGACATGTTCCTGTCAGCGACTTCTTTGGCCCGACTCTGCCCGGCCTCCCGAGTCCTTTGCCTGTCCCGCTCCAGCCTCTCCCCCAGGCCCACGGCCCGACGGCTCCCACCTGACCCCCGTCCAGCCCGGCCTCACATCCCTGTCCTGGACAGCTTGACGGGCGAGGTCACATAGTTTGAACCGCTCTGATTGGCTGTCAGCTTCCATAGCCCTGACCCAGCAGATGCCCCTCCTAGGCATGCTCAGTGGAAGGCAGGGCCGTCGCCCCGGCAACAGTGGGATGGGGCCCCGCAGAGGAGGCGCAGCTCCCAGTCCAGATCTGCCACTTTCCCTCAGCGTTAACAGAGTCTTTAATAAAAGCCTAAGCGGCAGCCCCACAAATTGACTGTGACAGTTGGTGGGGAAAATGAAGGGCCCCCACGCCTGGCCCAGCCCCCTCCCCAGCCTCCCGCCCTTCTCATCCAGGAGGCCCTGAGCCTGGACAACTTTGACATAATTTTGCAATAATTATCACTTGAAGAATTGCCACACAGGGTTGAGCGTCACAGGCGATCATGTCAGTGGGGAGGATCGCTGACGAGCGGCCAGGGCTCCCCAGGGGCCCCAGCCCACCCTGCCCGCTGCCCTCCCCCCAGGGGGTTCCGGGCTGTGCCCTACATGAAGCCCTCGGCCCCTCTAACATCATCTTCCCTCCCCTCCCCTGTAGGAAATGGGCAGCAGGCCAGTCCCGCCAGGTTCGCCCCGGCCCCGCTGAAGCAGGAGCCCGGGGAGAGTGCTGGCGTCCCAGGGCCCCTCGAGGGCTCCCACGACCGCAGCCTGGACCTGACAGTGAAGGAGCCCAGGTGAGGCCGGACGGGGCCTCCCTGCCCCGCTCCCCTGCCGGGGCTCCAGGCACAGCACCCTCAGGAGCCAGACCCCACTGGGGACAGGGGCCACGCCCTCCTGGCAAGGGGTCGCCCCCTGCCCGGGCAGGTGCAGCAGGCCGGCCAGAGCCCCAGGGCCGGGTCGGGAGGGACAAGGCTCCGGCTCCGTCCCTCTCACAGGTCTGAGCCAGGGCCCCTTGGTTTGTGTGTTCCAGCAATGAATCAAATGGCCACGCAGTCCCGGCAAATTCATCTCTTTTATCCTCGCTTATGAATAAGGTAAGAATCATCCATCACACGCCTCCCATTCCCCCACCCAGAGAAATTAAAGTCGTGCTGGGGGGTGGGGGGGATGTGTTTGTTTTTTAATGTTTTGCCTCTAATAAGATGAGTTTGTACCATTTAAATTTTGAGGCCATTTTTCATCGGATATAATTTCAGAGCCACTGCTTACAAATTAATTTAATGAACTGGCTGAAGAAATATATCCCAGCCCCTGACACCCTTTCTTCCTTTCAGACGGAGGGCTCCAGAAGCTTTTCGGGAGCCCTCGAACTTCTCCCACTGTTAGTTATTAATGTTATTTACTTACTTATTTTATATATGTATATTTTTGTTTGTTGACGAAGGGATGGGGGAGGGGGCCAAAGTGGGGGCAAAGCATCCATTTCCACTTTTCAGGGTGAATAATGGTCTCGGACGCCTTCCGCAGAGGTCGCTCCGGAATATTTATTTTAAATAATGCAGGGTCTTTGTGAATTATATATCATTTCAAATATATTTCCCCCCTCACATGATCAATTTGACTACAGCAAGATTAATTTGGTTACTGAACACAAGTGACGGTTGAGGAGGGAGCCGGGCCTGGGCCGGACACCGTGGGGCGGGGGCCCTGGGCGGGGAAGGAGCCTCCCACTGCCCTCTGCCCTCTGCCTTCTGCCCTCTGCCCTCTGCCCCACGCCTGCACCTGGCCCCTGTTCCTTCCCTCTCCATCCTGCTGGCTGCGTGCTCTCCTTTCTTCGTTTTAGGTCCTGCCCCTGCGCCCTCTCTCCCCTTCCTGTGGGAGCCTCGGTCTGGCCACTGCCTGGACCCCCGTCCCGCCCCCTCCTCTCGCCCAGAAGCTCCCAGCTGTCTGTCTGACCCCAGGAGCCTGGCTCCCTCCCTCTCTGCTCCTCCTTTGTGTGCCTTCCCTTGTTCTCAAGGAATTCACAGGGGTTCCCCCCACTCCTCCTCCCCCTGCACTTCTTTTGAAAACCTGGCAGGAAAATAACCAGGGAGCCTGGGGAAAGCTGGGCTGGAGGGTGCCCCAAGTCTCAGCCTCAGCCTCAGCCTGAGTGCTGGCTCCTGGCAGCACTGGGTTGGTGAGCAGGAGCCCCGGCCAAGGCAGGGGTCCAGGCACCCTCTGCATGGACGGGGCTCTTCCACAGCCGGAGCCTCACAGGGCCCCGCCTCCTGTCCTCCCTGCCACAGACGGGCACCGCTGTGCTCTAGTCGGTTGGGAGAAGCCCAAGTGGCCCAGAGCCGCAGCTGCTCACCGGGTAGCCTGGTATGGGTCCTGAGCTTCCCCAGCCCTGAGCATGGCCCCTGTCCTCCCCACAGATGTCTCAGGGCAGCCCCAACCATGGCAGCCTGTTGAACATCAAGACGGAAGCAGAGGGGAGCCCCGCCGTGGAGTCCTCGCCCTTCCCGGGCAAGGCCGCGAAGGCGCTGGTGCAGGAGAAGCTGTCGGAGCCCTGGAAGGTGTACCTCCGCAGGTGAGGGGCCAGCTGGGAGCGCGGGCGGGAGGGTGAGGTCGTGCCCCAGTCCTGGTGGCCGCCCCACACCACCCTGGCCTCGCCAGAGCCCGGTGTCTCCTCTGACCAGCTGACCCCTCTGGCCAGGTTTGGTACCAAGGACTTCTGCGACGCCCAGTGTGACTTCCTTCACAAGGCCCACTTCCACTGTGTGGTGGAAGAGTGTGGCGCACTTTTCAGCACCCTGGACGGGGCCATCAAGCATGCCAAGTGAGTCGGGGTCCTCGGAAGGGGCCCATCAAGCCCGGCCTCATTTATCCAGGCTGGGGTCCAGGCTGGGCGGGGCTGGAGCTGCACGGGCCACGCCCTGCCTTCCACCAGAGACCCATGCTCATTGGCCCCCCAGAAACGAACCCAGAAGCTGAGCTGGCTTCTCAGAAGGTGCTGCCCGGTCACAGGCAGGCTTCCGGGTCCCCCCTCCTGCTCAGCCCGCAGCAGGCCTGGTGAGCTCGCCCCACTGGGCAGCCCCGGCCCCTCCACCGTGCTCCCCACAGAGCTGGCCAGGCGGCCACAGAGACCCAGCCCTGGCCCTGCCGGGGACCCCGGTGAAGGCCTTCTCAAGCCAAAACATTGTGTGTATGTAGATTCTCTGTGACCTAAAAATAAGGACATTTGTACACCCCTTGAGCTGAAAAGCAACAGGCCCAGCCCCTGTTGGCACGGAACTCAGACATTAGAAGCATTTGAAGTGGATCTCCACTGCTCCCGAGCCCCGGGTCAGGCTCCCTGCCGGGCAGCCCTGGCTGCTGGTCTGCCGGGGAGCCGGCTTCCAGCACTGAGACCAACCTTTACATTTCAGAGCAGGTTCTGGAAGGATGGCCTTTTTCAGCCAGGGCCTGCTGTCCCCCCAGTCCCCTCTGAGTAGGGAGGAGCTAGGCACAGACACGTCAGGAAGGTCACAAGTAGTAAGGAGTAGTTAGGGCTGAGCCAGGAGCCAAGTTCAGAACCAGAGAACACCGTTCTCAGTCCTTCCCTGCTAGTGGGCATTGGCCCTGGGGGTGAGGCGGGGACACTGGGCCCCTGGGCCTCTGAGGCAGGGCAGGGCCGACCTGTTCAGGGTCCCCTCCACTTCCCACCTGAGACACCCCATTGTGCCTCCTGCAGCTTCCACTTCCGGACGGAGGGAGGAGCCGTGAAAGGAAACTCGGAGGCTTCCTTCGCAGCCTCAGCTGCTGAGACCAAACCTTCCTTGGCCCCCACGTCCCCTCCGGCGCCTCCCATCACCACGGCCACGGTCTCCTCTCTGGAGGGGCCGACCCCCAGCCTGGCCGTGGTGCCCTCCACCCCCACCCTGCTCGCCTGGAAGCAGCTGGCTTCCACCGTCCCGCAGATGCCTCAGATTCCAGCGTCCGTGCCTCGCCTGCCCACTTCGCCCTTGGCAACGACCTCTCTAGAGAATGCCAAGCCCCAGGTCAAACCGGGATTCCTCCAGTTCCAGGAGAAGTGAGTCCCTCGATGAGCCGGGAGTCTCGTGTCCCCCGTGCGTCTCGGGAGTAGGTGCTAGCCGGGAGCGCCGAGGAGTCGCTGCTCCCCAGCCCACGGTTAGCCCTGGCCGTCCTCAGCCTCTGTGGGACCCGGTCATCAGGCCACGGCCTTCTAGCCAAAGATGCTGCTGCTCTGACCTCACTGCCTGTCCCCAGAGCAGGTGGCCCGGGTGGGGGGAGACTGTGGTGGTGGCGGTGGCCACTGTTACAGAAAGTCAGAGGGGAAGCTGCACGGACCGACGCAGGTGGGCTGGGAGTGGGGGGTCTTTGCCCGAAGGCCTGCAAGGAGGGCTGTGCCTCCCCCCAGGCCACCCTGTTGGTCTCCTCCGGGGCCCACGTGCGTGGCTGAGTCTCCGCAGGGCAAGCCAAGTCAGGAGTTGGGGGGCAGAGGGAGGCCCCCCTCCAGGCCCCCATCCACCTGCACAGTGGCCTGAGCTCTCAGGGGTGGAAGGGACCCTCCTCACTTGGTGGTGGTGGCTGCTTGCGGCGAGAACGGTGACTCTGTATCATGATGTGTGCGGCTTCCTGGTCTCAATAAAAGTAATAAATTGTATGTGAACACACACCGCCTGAGTGGCAGCTGTCCTCCCTCTCTGAGCACCTGGGGCGGGGCCCACAGACAGGAGGGGCCGGCACTCCTCCGCCCCTCCCCCGCCGCTGCCCTTCCCCGACCCACCGCCAGAGAGTGGCAGCCCTCTTAGTTTGCCAGACCCTGTCAGAGCTCCCACGGGGCCCCCTGTGGGGGCAGCCTCGTGCAGCCAGGGCAGGCGGTGGAGCGCTGTGCCCTGCATGCCAGTCTGCAGCCCAGGGACCGGGCTCTGGGGCAGGGGCTAGGCCCAGCCTTCCTCCCACCCCGCCAGCCCCTCCACGCCGCTGGTTGTGCAGTTCTGTAAGTGGGTGGGGACCCCAGTCCCTGGGATGGTCCTGGGAGCCCCGGCCGTTTTGCACCTTGGCAGGACCTGACACCAGGCACACATTCCCTCTGGCCCGGGTCCCGGGGTAGCCAGGCTCCCTGGCAGTGAGGGCTTCCCGCCCGCCCGCACCCCATCAGTCAGCCACATCCAGGGCCCTGCCTGCGCCACGCCAGCCGGGCCTCGCTGGCGCCCCGCCAGGGCTGGCAGCGCCATCCATCCCTCATTTTCACATACAAGAAGTTACCGCAGGCATCCTTATCTCTAATCCTGAGGTGTGGCTGTGGAAACTACGTGTCCCAGCATGCAATGCTCTGGGCAGCCCAACTCCAGAGTCCCTTTTGCACCTTCTGAGCTCCAAAAAGAAGGGAGGAATGCATGCTGGGATCTGTAGTCTCCTCGGGCTGAATTATCCTGTTGAGCAGGAGGGCAGCCCAGGGACCATTCCTCTTGATTGCCCCGCCGGGGCCTTGGAGGGCAGAACCCCAACCCGAGCAAATGTCAGGACGTCGGCGGGGAGGGCATCGGGAATGCCAATGACCTTCTGGGCTGTGGTTTCATTGCAGCGATCCTTGCCTGGCGACGGACTGCAAGTATGCCAACAAGTTCCACTTCCACTGCCTCTTTGGGAACTGCAAGTACGTCTGCAAAACTTCCGGCAAGGCCGAGTCCCACTGCCTGGACCACATCAACCCCAACAACAACCTGGTGAATGTGCGCGACCAGTTTGCCTACTACTCCCTGCAGTGTCTCTGTCCCAACCAGGTCAGCGCCCAGTGAGCCAGGGGGGAGGCAGGGGCCGGGGAGGGGTGCAGGGGCAGGGAGGGGAGAAACAGGGTTTCTCCAGACTCTGGGATGGGTGCTGTCTGCCTCTGGAGAACCGGGCAGGGGTTCAAGTCAGTGCGCAGTGGGTGAACTCTGTCATCTTACCCGAACCCTCACTGGTGACTCCAGGCTGAGCGGCCGCTGTGCCCTTGGCATCGTTCTGCCTCCTGGAACTTGTGAGGTTCTCTCTCCCCAAAGGCCTAGATTTTAAAATAGGCACATTGGGTCCATAGAGAGATTGAGCTGTCTGTGCCCTGGACAGGAAGGGCAGCTCGGATTCATCAGGAAGGCCTACCCTGCTTTATGGTGAGCACGCTGAGGGGTCCGGACCTAGGTCTGGGCAGCAGAGAAGAACTAGGATAGATTAGTGATGTCTGCTCTGGGTACCTCTTAGAGGCAAATGGCAATTATACCAGATAGGATGTTGTAATCAAGTGACATAAGGTACATACTGCCTTTGAACATGTGAAAGGTCTTCACCTGATTGTGTTTCCTGGTTCTGAGCATGGAAGAACCCATACACCAGGGGTCCGTCTCAGCCTGGAGACCCGGGGCAGGTGGGAGCTCCCGGAATCTGGGAGTGGTCCTGATGCCCCCCCCCCCCCCCGCCCCTGCAGCACTGCGAGTTCCGGATGCGCGGGCACTACCACTGCCTCCGGGCCGGCTGCTACTTTGTGACCAACATCACCACCAAGCTGCCGTGGCACATAAAGAAGCACGAGAAGGCCGAGCGGCGGGCAGCCAACGGATTTAAGTACTTCACCAAGCGCGAGGAGTGCGGCCGGCTAGGTATTGAAGGCCAGGGAGGGGGCAGGGATTTGCGGCTGGTGGCAGGGCTGTGGCTCTGGCGCCTGAGGCCCTGGTGGCCTGGGTCACTCCACCTCCTGCCCCCACACACCAGGTCCACGTTGGGTTAGAAGTGTCTCAGGCCCTGCACTGTCAAACTGGGAAAACAGTCAAAGCCCGCAAGCCCGTGAAAAGGGGTCTTCGGGACTCGAAGCGGGGCGCCCGCCCCGGGGAGAAGGCTGGGGGCCGCTGCAAGGTGTCCAGGCCTGGACCTGGTTCTCTTTCCTCTTCTTTTCAAGAGGGCTCTCTGGGCAGTGTTAGGGCCCCTGAGCTCCCTGTCCTGGGATCGGTGCTGGGGCCGTGCCGTCTTGTCTGAGGTGCTCCGAGGTTGTCCGCTGGCCTGTTCATGCACTCGGCAGACATTTCCGGAGGGACAGCCGCGTGCAGAGCTTCTGCTACTGCGGGGGGTGGGCGGTGGGGGTGGTAGCAGCGGCAGCTAAGGTTTTTTCTTGTATCTACGGTGGCCAGCACTGTGCTCAGTGCCAGGGACTTGGTGGGACAAGCAGGTTCATGGCGAGCTAAGCCCAGAGCACCTCTGACTTGGGGTGACCCAGAAGGAAGGGGCTGTAGGGCTGGCGGGAACAGGCCACAGCAGCCCGGATGGGCAGCAGGTGCCTCGAGCTGACTGCTGGGGAGAGCTGGGCCCCCTGCAGTGAAGCTGTCCCCCCCACCAAGCCTGCCCTGGGGGTACCTGCAGGGAGGGGCTCCAGGACTTGCGGGCAGAGGGCAGAGGTGCCATCCCGCCTCAGGACGGAGCCTCCTGTTCACAGGCCTGCCAGCGTGGGGCACGAATCTGCCCCAGCAGGGCAGGTGGGTGGAGACCCTGGCGCTGCAGGCGAGCCCCATGGTGGCTTGGGCAGTCACAGCAGCGGGGCCTTAGGGGAGTGGGGCCACTGCCTGCTGCCCACTGGCCCTTCCACCAGGGAAGGCTGAGATACCCAAAGCCAACTGGTAGAAAAGAGAGGGCACAAACCTTCCCTTCAAGTATTATTCAGAAAGAATTCATGACCCGAGAGAGGGTAGGTAACCGTGGCAACAGATGTCAACACACAGTGGCCTGTGCTATTTCTGGGCTCAGTTTACAGGTGTCAGGGTGTTCTGTAGTTGCTGTTATTTATTCAACTTTGGGTGTTCTGGGTGCTAGCTGCGGCCAGACAAAGCTGGGGGATGATACCAGACACCTGGCCAGCTCAGGTGCCATGGCAACAGACAGGCCTTCACCTGCCCTTCACTGATACTGTTTCAGTCCAGCCTATGCTGTTTGTTCGCAGCCAGAGCAAAGCCCAGGGTGGGGGGGGGGGTAGGGCAGAGGGCCAGCTGGCCTGTGGCCCCCCAGGGGAGGTGTGCTGGGAGGTGGCTGACCTAGGAGACAGGTCATTAGGGTCCCCCTCCCTGGATCCCATGGGCCTCTCGGTGTTTGGGGCAGGGGATGGAGGCCAGCCTGCCATTGTCCGGTGCCCTCCGTTAGGCTGGAGGGCTGGGGTATGAGCCCTCCTTGTAGAAATGCCATCACCAGGGAACAGCCCTTTCCCCCAGAGCCATGTGCCCTGCGGCCCCACTCCCCCGCACCCAGGGCAGTGCCTGACACACAGTAGGTGTCCTGAGCCTGGGCCAGCGGGGGGCTGACGGCCGGGCGGGTGTGTCCACAGGCTGCAAGTACAACCAGGTGAACAGCCACTTCCACTGCATCCGAGAGGGCTGCCAGTTCTCCTTCCTGCTCAAGCACCAGATGACCTCCCATGCCCGGAAGCACATGCGGCGGATGCTGGGGAAGAACTTCGACCGGGTGCCCCCCTCCCAGGTGAGAGCCTGGTCCACCCGGGGCCCCACTCCCACTTCCTGACGGTGGGCCGCGCCGCCCAGATCACCAGCCTGCCTGCCCCCATTGGGCAGCACAGCTGCCAGCCCAGCCTCCTCAGGGCCCCCACCTCCTTTCAGGGCCCCCCGAGCCTGATGGACACGGAGACAGACGAGTACATGGATTACACCGGCTGCAGCCCGGGCGCCGTGTCCTCGGAGTCGTCCACCATGGACCGGAGCTGCTCCAGCACCCCTGTGGGCAATGAGAGCACCGCGGCCGGTGAGTGGGCAGCCAGGGGACCGGGTGAGGGGCGGGCCGGGAAGGGGCAGGGGGGCCCGGGAGCTTCCGGCAGGGCCAGGCCCTTCTTCCGAATGCCAGCACTGCTGAGCCCATTTTGGGACAGGAGGTTCATGGTCAAGTGGCCTCAAAGAAAGGCCAGTGTGCAGCAGAGTCAGCTGGTCTGGGGCATGGGTCACTGAGGCCACCTGCTGCACCCTGCCCACGTCCCCGGCGCTCCGCCCTCGGTTTTAGCTTCCGGGAGAGCCCCCAGCCAGCGAGCGGGCCTATGAATGCGCAGGGGCCAAGGCACATGCCTGCCCCATCCAGCCCTGGCAGCTCTTCTGGTCCTCCTGCCGTCATCCCCAGCAGGGTCCTTGGGCCCCAGAGCAGGTCCCGCCCAGGCAGGGCTCTGCCACAGGCCCTCGCTGAGCCCGAGACCTCTCCGCGCACTGCCTCCCCTTCCGTCCTGTGTCCCGCCACCTCCTCCCCTCTCTTCTCTGTGGCACCTTTCTGCTCCTCATCTGTCCGTGTATTTTCATGTCATACTTGCTTCTACCATTGGGTTTCTCATTTTGGTTCTTTTTTGTTTGTTTCCTCTTTGTTTTGTTTTGTTTTGTTTCTGCTTTTTTCCACCCTCTCCAGGCTGCCCGGCTCCTCCTCCTCCTCCTCTTCCTCCTCCTGCTGCCGCCGGTGACCAGGCTGCCCGCGTGGCTCCACCGACCCCCCTGACCCCGCCCTTCTCCCCGGCAGTGCTCCGGGCGCCCCTCCCCGCCCTCCCATGCCTCTTCTCTCCACCCTGTCTCTCATACTCTCTGCTCAGTGCCGCTCTCGGAGCCGCCCGGGGCCTGGCCCACCCCATCAGCAGCCCGCCCAGCTTCCCGCCCATCACTGCCACTCCAACTCCAGTAAAAAGTGACGTCCCCCTAGTTCAGGACGCTGCAGGTAACGCACACGTGCCTTCTCGCCCGTGTCTGTCACCCGAGCCAGCCCCTGAGGCTAGGGTCCAGGACCTGACCCTCTTCTGTGGCCTGCAGGGCCAAGGACGGGGCCGCCCTCTGCGCCTCGAAGGGCAGCCCCCTCAAGCCTGGAGAGCCCGGCCTCTCACCTGGGGTCTGCTCCTCTCCACGGCTGCCCTGCGCCGGGCCGGCCAGAGCATCGCCGCCAGGGGTCCCTGGGCTCTGACCCATCTCAGAAGCTGCCCACAACCCTGAGGTGGGGCTCTGCCAGCCCCACCCCCCTAGATTCCTGCGGCCAGGCAGAGCCTGCCCCTCCAGCTCTTGGGAGTTCACCTGGGACCCGGCACAAGGGAGGCAGACAGTGGTCTCGGGGAGGTTGCTGGTGCCTGGGACTGGCCAGAGTTCGGCGGTTCCTAACACCAGCCTGAAGCGCCAGCCCTGGAGCCAAAGCAGGAAGAGGCAGAGTCTTGACCCGGGGCCCTGCTGTGCTCAGCGGTGGGGGCGCCTCCCAGCCCACCCGGTGTCTGCTGCTCCCTGTGGATGGGATCCGCCCCCCCCCATCCCCTTGTGTGGTCGTTCCCCGGCTCTGCCTCTCCCTCCACTCATGCCCCACAGTCTGCCCGAGTGCCAGGCACTGCGCCAGGCCCAGGGGTGTGGCAGAGAGCAGGGCAGCCCCCCCTTGGAAGAAGCCCATAGAAAGCTCTGTTGCTGGCATAATCAGCTGGAGCCCTGTGACCTCAGGCCCCAAGCAGCCACTCCTCACCTGCCTGTGTCTCCAGGCCCCAGGCCCTCCCTTTCCTCCTGCCTGGGAGCCCCTCCCACCTCATCGCAGTCCCTGGTTCCTCTTCACCTGCTAACGGTGGGTGACAGGCCCCAGATGGACAGGGCAGCAGGGGGTGACCGTGGATGCTGGCCCCCACCCCGGGCAGGGCTGGGCCTGAGAGCTCCTCCATGTTTCTGGGGAGTTGGAGGGGGTGCCAGGCCTGGTGCCCTCTCCCTCCGACTGTGCAGCCCCGGGTGGTGCGCTCCTTCCCCTGCTGCTCCAAGGGTCCCCCCACCCAGGGAGCGAGGGGCAGAAGCACAGCTGCCGTTGAGCGGTTGGCGCTGGCCGCAGGGCATCCTGGGTCCTGGGGAGCAGTTGGGGCAGGAGGGTGGGCACAGATGGGCCCCCACTCACTGCCTGAGCTCCTGCTCCATCCCTGCCCTCTCCCAGCTCAGTGAGGGTAGAGAACCCCAACAAGACCTTAAAGGAACTTCGGTACCAAGGAGAAATCGGTACTCCTCGGGGCAAGGAGTTACAGCCCCAAACAGCCCTGCAGTGCCTGGCACCCCTTCTGCGAGTAGGCTGGTCCCCCGCGCAGTCAGGCGGCCCCGGGAAACTGGTTAGCGGGCGGGAGAAGGAGCCAGCCTGTCCCTCATCAGGGGCCAGCCCCTGACGGCGTCCTGGCCCCCGTCCAACTTGGGTGATTACACTCTGCCCACCGAGATCCCCCTTCAGCTTCAGTCAACACCAGGACGTGTCCTCGCTCCCCAACCAGACTGGCCGGGAAGCGGCAGCCACATCCCCCAGAGCTGCCGACCCCACCAGCAGGGCAGATGCCCACGTGGTCATCCTGCAGACACGGCTCACGCTCGGGGAAGCCCGGGCTCCCTGGCTGCTCTGGGTGGGGGGTGTAGTGGGAGAGACCCCCCCAGCCATGGAAAGAGGAGTCGTCACCCCTAAATGCTGCTCTCTGCCCACTGTGCCCGGTTCGGGGGCCCCGCCTGGGTGGGACCCTGGGAGTGGTGCCCGCAGGAGCGCTGACCTCCACTCCCCTCCCCAGGGAACACCATCTCCATGCCCACAGCCTCCGGGGCCAAAAAGCGTTTCTGGATCATCGAGGACATGTCGCCGTTTGGGAAGCGGCGCAAGACGGCCTCCTCACGCAAGATGCTGGACGAGGGCATGATGCTGGAGGGCTTCCGGCGCTTCGACCTCTACGAGGACTGCAAGGACGCAGCCTGCCAGTTCTCACTCAAGGTCACTCACTACCACTGCACGCGGGAGAACTGCGGCTACAAGTTCTGTGGGCGCACACACATGTACAAGCACGCGCAGCACCACGACCGTGTGGACAACCTCGTGCTGGACGACTTCAAGCGCTTCAAGGCCTCGCTCAGCTGCCACTTCGCGGACTGCCCCTTCTCGGGCACCAGCACGCACTTCCACTGCCTGCGCTGCCGCTTCCGCTGCACCGACAGCACCAAGGTCACGGCGCACCGCAAGCACCACGGCAAGCAGGACGTGATCAGCGCCGCGGGCTTCTGCCAGTTCAGCTCGAGCGCCGACTGCGCCGTGCCTGACTGCAAGTACAAGCTCAAGTGCTCGCACTTCCACTGCACGTACCCAGGCTGCCGCCACACGGTTGTGGGCATGTCACAGATGGACTCGCACAAGCGCAAGCACGAGAAGCAGGAGCGGGGCGAGCCCGGCCCCGAGGGCCCCGCGCCCGGCCCGGCCGGCGGCCTGGACAGCTCGCTGTCTCTGGGCACCGAGCCTGGGGGCTCCCTGCTCTTCTTGCAGACGGCTGCCGCCGGCCTGGGCCTGGGGCTGGGCGATGCGGGCGAGCCCGCACCACCGGAGGGCCCGGTGCCCCGCGAAGGCCCCGCCGCGCCCCCGCCCGGTCCCAGCCCCGCGGCCGGAGAGTCGTCACAGGAGGACGAGGAGGAGATGGAGCTGAACGAGGAGGAGGCGGACGACGACGAGGAGGACGATGAGGAGGATGAGGATGACGAGGAGGAGGATGAGGACGACGACGACGAAGAGGACGACGAGGACCTGCGCACCGACTCGGAGGAGTCGCTGCCCGAGGCCGGGCCGGGTTCGCGGAGCCCGGAGCGGGTGGCCCTCGGAGCGCCCGCAGTCCCCGCGCCCCCCGCGCCCGCCGCTGCCGCCTCGCCCTAGCAGCCGGGCTGAGCGGGGACGGCCACCCGCCCTGAGGGCTCACCCCTTTGTTTATTATTGTTATTATTAATTTTGTAAGAAATGGTATTTATACGTCAAGCTTCCCTCTGTACAGAGCTAGATGTTCGTTGTGGTTCCCGTGTGAGGGGTGGGGCGCTCCGGCTCCGGGCTCGGCCCCCCCGCCGCCCCGCCGGTGCTTCCGGACCCCGAGTCCGTCTCAGGGCAGAGGCGGGGCCCCCTCTGGTGCTCCGGGGCCGCCCCCGCGCCCGCTGCCCGCGCAGCTCCGCGGCTGGAAAGACAGGCTGCCAAGCACACCTTTCTAGCTGCAGCTCGGGGATCTTCTTCAGGGAAATAGAAGGTGCTCTTGTCCCGGGTGGGAGAGGGGAGCAGGGGTCCCCGAGGGTGAGGCGGGCACAGACCCCCGGCAGCTGCCCCCAGCGACCCTCCCCGAGGCCGGACCCCGGGCCCCACGCCCACGCCAGTGGGATTCCTCATTGCTCAGGACGGGGACGGGCGCTGGGGGTCCCAGGGACCCCCGCCCCTAACCACCAGAGGCGGCCGGCACTTGTGGCATCTGGTAGGGCCCGGTCACACAGCTGAGGCCCACCCTCCTTGCTGTGGGGGCGGGCGGGGCAAGGACGGTTGCCCAGGGACACTACAGGGACCGCGGAGGAGACCTCGTGCCAGGAGCAGAGCCAGGAGCCCCGGGGTCACCCTGTCCCCACTGCGCGGCCTGCTCCAGTACCTGCTCCCGAGGGCTGGGGACGGACTGGGCGCCCTGGGCCTGCGTGCCCCCCACACACCGGAGAGCTGGGCTGGGTGCCCACCCACCCAGGTCTCAGCGCCCCAGGTGGTGGGAGCAGGAAAGATGCGACTGGCTGGGGCGTTACTGTTCAAAATGGAAAAAATGCGAGAAAGTTGTACAGTATTTTTCCCCATCAAGGTTATTACTCTACACAGAACAAAGAGGAAGCGAAGCAGGTGGGAGGTGAGGGCGGGGCCGCCTGCCCCTGGCCCTGCGCTGCGGGGCCGCGTGGAGCGCAGCGCCCCGAGTGGGAGGTCTGCACTGGCACTGCTGGGGGCCGCGGGGTTCCAACTCCTAACTTGAATTTTGTAGAGGCAAGATAAGAGGACTTTTACTGTTGAAGCAAGTTCGTAGTTAATTTAACATTTGAGTTTTTCTCTATTGGTTATGCGTGTGGCTTTACAGGGCTGTTCCCCCACCGCCCCTCCCCCACCCCGTGTTTTATTTTGTTTGGGATGCTTCATTGTTGATGCGCCCCACCCAGGTTGGGTTCCCTTTTCAAAACCGCCCCGCTCCCGGAGACGATGAGGTCACAAAGCCCAGAGCGGCCGCCTGACAGGCACACACACCTGGCCGTGGCTATGAGGGTGACAGGGACGCGGGGTGGGCAGCCCAGGGCCCCTCCTGCTCACCTCCTCTGCACTCCAGGCCACCAGCGGATCTCAGTGAGAGGTCCTCGAAGTGGACATCTGGACCCTGAGACTCTGGCCACAGGGAGAGAGCAAGGCCCAGTCTTGGGGAGGGCCTGTCACCCAGAGCCACATCCCTACAGGTCTCTACGGGGAGCCCTGTTCACCTGGGGGGCAGTGGTGTCCTTCCCCTTTTTCTTTCCTTTTTCTTTTTGTTTTGTTTTTGTCTTCTTGGCTGCCCACAGCCAGAGAGCCAGGACCATCGAAACTGGAGAGGGAGCAGGGGGGAGGAGGGGTCGGACGGAGCGTCCCCGGTTCAGCAGGAAGCAGCCTTTCGACACAGCCCCCACCAGGGCCTCCTGAATCCCGCGGGCACCCCACGCTGCTGCTGCTGCGCGCTCGCCCAGACTGTGTGCCCAACCACAGAACCCAGGAGTCTGTGGAAGGAGTTTTGTAAAGGAAAAAATTCAAAAAAACAAAAACATTTTTCAATGTAGCAAAATCAAACAAAAAAAAGAAAGAAAAAAAAGAAGACGCCCACAGTGCGAAGTCTAGCCTTTTGTAACCTTCATATTGCACACTAGGACTATAAGCCATTGCTAGCTCATTTTGAATTTTAATGTGTAATTTTTGTTTTATTTTCTTTCTGTGGGGAAAACAATGCTTGATCCACCAATGCTCTTTTTAATGTTTTATAACTATGTATGTGTATATATATAAATATAAAATAATAACGTATGCACATGTGTGTATATATCTATATGTATATACATATATAGATATAGAGAGATATATAGAGAGGTTTTGAGACGCAAATGCAGAACGTGAGAACCGAACTGAACAGCGTGTGCTCTGATTACTTGAATCTGGTCTCCTCGGCACCTGGTTATTAAGAACTGAATATTTTTCCACTTGAATTTAGTGCTATTAGAAATTTAATATATGTGTTTTATTTATTTGATTTTTTTTTGCATGACTGATGCAAGGTTTGACATTTTCACTCAATAAAAACTGGAAAAAAACCTTTCGAGTTACCTTTTATTTTTGAAATCAGCCCCACGCAGCTGGTGGTGACCCAGCTGTTCAGGGCAGGAGGGCCGACCTCCCCGGAAGAGCTGGGAGGCTCAGGGAGAGAAGTCGGTGACCTTCGACCCTGGCAGGGAAGGGGAAAGGCCAGGTTTGCCCCTGGAATCAGGCCAAGTTCTCCTAGCTGGCTGGGGCCACATGGTGGGGGACTTGGGCCGTGCGCAGCTGAAGGGCGGCCGCCTCCTTCAGACCTGCCGAAGGCCCCACTTGAGACTGAGGAGCTGCCCACAGGCAGAGGCAATCAGCGTGGAAGTGGAAGTCTCGTGCCTCCGGCAGAGGCTCCCCGAGCTCCCTGGGCCCCCTCCCCCGCACCCCACCAGCCTCCTCCTCTGTCAGTCAGGGCGACTGGGCAGGCACTTGGCAGCGTCACACAGATGCCTCCTCCCCTGGCTCCTTCCTCCTTCCTGCAGGGACCTGCCCGGGCCAGGAACGGCGTGTACCCGGATCTGATCCGGATGCTGGCTCGGCTCCTGCCTGGAGCGTGTGGTGGGCAGAGCCAGAGGGGCACTGTGGCTGGGGCTCCCCCAGAGCCCTGGGTGGTGGGGGCACCCCTGGGACTCATGCCTCATTGACCCTGACACTTCTGAACGGTGACCTGCTTCTCATCACATCTCATCACCTGCACCACCCTGCCAGCCTTGCCCTGAGCTGACCCCCTTCCAGGTGGCCAGACGTCCCAGGGCCTCGGAGAGGGGACGTGTGTGGGGGCGGCGCATTCCTGCACTTGGAGGGTATCTCACTGGATGTGGCACCCCTGCCATGGCCACACCACTGTCCCGAGGAGGGGACCAGGGCTGGATGCCACGGGCCCACACCCGCCCAGCCCGGCGTCTTTCCCACCACGAAGCTCATCCTTGCCAGCCGCACACACAGGGCCCTCCCCGTTCTTCTCTCCTCCTGGAACTGGGCCCACAAGCTATTTACATAAATATGTTTGTAACAGACGTGAAAATATATACTTTCTTCTGTCTTATTAAAATGTTCAAGTTGGAACTCGCCTATTGTTTGTGGATATCTTGATTCTGTTAAATAAAACAGTGACTAATTTATGGGATAAAACACAAGTTCAACAAATTAAAACCATTATTGGAGCTTCTTGGGCCCTGGTGGGCCAAGCAGCCCTCCCGTGGGGCCTGAGGGGAGGCAAGGAGCCAAGCGCGGGGCCTCGGCTGGGTGGGTGGTGGGACCGCGGGGCTCACCCTGGGCACTGCAGTGGTGGGGGGTTGGGACCAGCGGGGCGGGGCCCACAGAGGCTTTGGGGACACCTCCCAGGGGGCTCTAACTTCAGCTGCCTCTCAGAACTCCTAGGGACCTGTCAGGGGAGGGGAAGTGGACACTCCAGACGGGCCCCCAGGACTGCCCTCTCTCGAGCTGCCTCCAGGTCTTCTGGGCCCTGGTGGCCCTCAGCAGACCATACACGGTGGACGGACAGGGCCCAGGCCCCCCGATCGTCAGGACCCGCCGTCTGGACTCCCAGACACCACCCCAGACGAAAAGTGCCCACCACACCCACCAGGGGCTCCTGCCCAAAGCCTGTGTCACCCACCACCGGGAGGGGGGGGCGGCAGCTGGGATGGTGCCCCCTCCCGTCCAGGGGCGCCCCACACCGCTCCCTAGGGCTTGCTGCACTCAGTGGGAGATGCGGCAAAGCCAGCTTGCGTTCTGCGATTTAAGTAGCCGTGATGCTTCTACACCCAAACTGGGGCCAATTCAAGACTTTTGAAACCTCTTGGCAAGAGCCAGGCCCAGCTGCACAGGCTCAAGCTGAGACACCCACAGGAGCCTTGCTCCATCCCGCCCACCTGGACCAGTGGCTGGGGAGCCCGCACACCTGGGCCACCTGGGCAAAGGGAGCTCATCCATCCCCCTGCATGAGGGGCTGCCCTGGCCCAAAGGTGCCTTGGCCCAAGACCAGGGTACAGGGGGTGGCAGACGAAGCGCCGCTGCCCCAAGGTCAGTGTTACACCTTCAGGGAGCAGAGTGGGCAGCAGTCCTGGGGACCTTGCTGGGGACAACGAGGGGCCGGGACTGTGCCTCCCTGTAAGAGAGGAGGCACCAGCCCCTCTGGGACAGGCCCGAAGCTGGCACGGGGGGAGGGCGGCAGAGGGCACTGGAGCAAGCAGCCTCACCCACCCGCTTCTCCTGCTGTGCACCCCAAACCCCAGCCACTGTAGGGGGGACCCCCAGCCTGGGGAGGCTTTGGCTCTGTCCATAGCCTCCAAGGCTCAGCAGCCGCGCTGGGGTCTTCCAGGCGCCACAGCACCACTGACGCCCGGGAACTGCTCTCCCGGGGCTGTGGAAAGGGGGAGGGGCGCCTGAGCCTCCAAGGCGCATTGAGAACTGCAGAGAAGAGGCTTTCAGCGCTTGCCAGGGAGAGGCTTCGGGCGTTCTCCATATCGAATTATAAAATCTCTCTCTCCTCCAGAAGGATCACACTTCTAAGTGCTCACTGAAAGTGAACTGTTCATGGTTCAGGTGGACGGTGCCCCACGGTGCTGGAGACTTCAAACCTGCCCTGTGACAGAGCGGGGGGCGGGGGCGGCACGTGTGTGAAGGCCGCGGTCACACCTCAGCGCCACCTGCCTGCTCACTGCCCCTGGCAGGAGGAAGAGCAGGGCCCAGAGTCTCGGCAAGGGCAAGGAGGGGTCAGCCAGGACTCAGGCTGACGCCCAGGTGAGCGGGACATCACAGGCTGGGGTCGCCCCACCTGCAGGGTCTCACTGGCACCTGTGCACTTGCCCTGTCTGGGTCTCCAGACCCGCTCTGGGTGCCTTGGCAGAAACGATTTAAAACAGACAGACCAAGAAACACTAAGGATTAAGTAAACTCCTGAGGATGACTGTCAGGCCTGCAGAAATGTCTCCTGCCTGCCCTTCCTCCTTGGGCTCTGGTGCAGGGGCGGGGGGAGGCAGGGCAGGGGCGGGGCTGGGGCAGGGCAGTCACTGGCGCGGAGGCGGCCCCCAGCCACAGGACCAGCACCACAGTGTCCTGACTGGGCACTCAGGGCCAGCAGGAGCTTCTAGGGAACCTACCACCCCCACCTGAGTCAGCCCCCAAGGACCCAGGACTCACTTCTGTGGAGATGAGCAGATCACAGGACCCTGGAGAGGAGTTTCCCGTCTTTATTTAAACAGAGGCAGAGGGACAGTGAGCTCGCTTGCCCGTGGGCACACCTGTACCCGGGGGTCCGCATGGGCGGTACAAGGGGGGCTTTATTTACTCTGTTCCCTTCCAACACGGCAGAAGAGCACCTGCCCCCAGGCTGGAAGCTCCCCTTCCCAGCTGGGGTCCCAAGACCCCCGTGTGCAGGGAGGCAGGCCCGCAGGGATGCTCCCTGGTGCCCCGCCTGCCGGGGGCCCACAAACCCAGGAGCACCAGGCTGGCGACGGGGACGGGGCCAGGAGGGTGCCCACGGCCGCCAGCTCCCGGTGCGGGGCGCGTGCGTTCCTGAGAGACGCTCCACAAAACTGCGTTGTGACTGAGTCTAATAATCTCCCCCTTCCAGAAAGGGCCTGACAGGCGCTGCCTGCTGCTCACTTCTGCCCCTTTCCAAATATTTTTACCTTATTAGGATGAAATGCATTATTTTTCTAATGAAAGGCTTTTTTTCAGAGGGCTGTTTCCCTCCGTCCAGCGCTGCCTTTATTAGGCAGCACTCACGCCGTTCTGGGGAGGGGTGTCTCCTCCCTGACCGCGGGCCAGGCGCGCCGTCCTCAGAAGCCAACCCTCATGCTTGGGACCTGCAGGGCCAAAGGCCCAGGGCCCAGGCTTCTCCTGCCCACCCCAGCGCCCACAAGCCTGCAGAGCCCCGGCTGCAGCCCTGCCCCCCAGAAGGTGAGGCCCCAGGGCCTCTGGCCTCGGGGGGTGCTCCTGGCTGATGTTTCCACACCAAGCCACCTGCCTCCTGGTCACCCTGTCTGGTTGCCCTGCAGGATGAACCTCTGGAAAATTAGAGATGATGACAAATGGTCATCAAGCCCAAGGGGGAGACCCCACGACCATCCACTCAGGACTAGGGGTCAGAGGGCAGAACCCTGTCACCCTGAGGCCTGGGGGTCCTCGTCCACCACAGGCTACTAGCCCAGGGCCCCGGCATTGAGAACCCCAGCATCTCTGTGGACAGCAGGGAGGTGGCAGTGACTCAACGTGGGCTCTGCTTGTCCCCAGGAAGCACGTGGTGGGAGAGCAGAGTGCGGGGATGTCACGGGAGGTTGTGGGCATCAAAGACAAAGCCGGAGGGACTGGGCCGGGGTGGGGGGATGATGACACTCAGGTCAGAGAGTGGCCCTGGTCACCGAGACCGGGCACGTCTGTGGTAGCCTGGGGCCACGGTCAGGAAGGGGTCTGCTGCCCAGGAGGGGCCCCAGCAGGAGGTGAACTGTTTCTGGGACAAAACAGCCCCAATGCCAAGTCACTCAGCCCCTGGCCCCTGGCTTCCTCCCTCCCCGAGGCTGGGTGGGGGTGGCCAGAGGCTCAGAAGGCCAGCGAGGCCAGCCCGAGAGGGTGTGCGCCCCTGCAGGGCCCCGCCCCCACCGCGGCCAGCGGGTCCCTGACTGTGTGCAAAGCCTCCGCCGCCACATAAGACACCCGGACCTGACCGGGCGTCCCCACACTCGGCCTGCGGGCGGCGGGGCGCGGAGGCTCCCTGGAAGGGGCGTCGCGCTGTCTCTCCAGGAGCAGCCAGACGCCGTGTGAAGGTTAAAGGGAGACAGGGAGGGTGAGAGGGAGAGGAGACGGGGGAGGAAGAGCGAGCGAGACTCTCCTGGGAGCACGTTCATCCATTTAAGGAAGGAGAGCTCATCACACTTCGCAGCAGGTCTATATACAGTAACATGTGGTCCCTTCTCCTCCCGGAGCTGCGTCGCCCTTCGACAGGCACCGGGGCCGGGGATGAAGCCTCCAGGCTCCGGGGAGCAGCCGCAGAACCCCGCCTGGCCCGGCCCTCCGCCCCTCCGGGGCCTCCCCAGAGCTCACCTGGCCTGGCCCCAGCCCAGACCCACCTCCCAGGCACTGGACGCCAGGAGCAGACAGGGAGCCACAGGCAGGGGTTAAATAGTGACAACTCATCTTTATTACAATTATGTACAGCTGCTTCTCACGTTCTGAACCTATACCTGATCACACAGAGGGACATGTGTCCCTGGTTGGGAAGGACAGACAGGAAGGCCCGAGGCCTGGCTCCCATGCGGGAGTGACGGCCATGTCTCGCTGAGGGAGACGGCAGGTGACAGTCACAAGTGCAGTGCGACTTCATTGGTGCAGGAGGATGAAAGGGCCTGGTGGGGCTGGGACAGGCGGAGGGCAGCATTGGGCGGGCAGGGCCTGGCCGCGGGGCCCGGGAGGCCCTCCCCCAGAGAAAGGCGCTGTGGGGGCACAACCAGAGCCTGAGGCCCCTGGAGAGAAGCGAACTGGGAGCCGTGGGGCAGGGGAGGAGGTGGGGCAGCAGACACTGGTCGGCGCAGCTCCTCCTCCTCAGAGGGTCAGGAGTCAGGTCAGAGCTACCTCTGGTCATGCTGGCTGCTGGGTTAGCTAAGATGCTCAGCAGACACACCCGGACGGGACATCAGTCCAGGAGACTGGGCCCTCAGCCTGCGATCAAGGTCAAGGCTGGCTGCCTGGAGCCGAGCTCAGGAAGGAGCAGGTGAGAGTGGCTGGGTGGGCAGAAACACGGCCCCACGCACAGGGGCCGGGAGCCACGGGGCCTAGTCCCGCTCGTGCTCGTTGCTGGCGCCCTCCGGCCGCCGCAGCTTCTCCACCTGCTCGTTGATCTGCCCGTCCCCACCCCGGCGGTCCTCCCTCTGCACCCCCCGGCAGTCCTCTGCGTCCACGCGGCCCACGTCCTCGTCCTCCTCGTCCTCCCGCTCCTCCTCCTCGCCCTGCACCTCCATCCTCACCTGGCCCTTGACATCCACCACCCCCGCGCCCTCCTCCTGGGGCCCCAGCAGGTGGCAGGTGGCGGCGGAGCCCTCGGGGCTGTGCCCCTCCTTCACGGGCGAGGACGCAGCAGACTCGTTGCTGACGGGCGAGATGTCGCTGCTGCTGTGGGGGTTCCCGGTGGCAGGACTGGAGGGCGAGGGCGACTTGACTGGGATCTGCCAGGAGGGGATCTTTGGGGCCGACGGGGAGGGTGGGAACTGCCTCCTGCAAGGAGGGAGAAGAGAGCGGGTTGTGACAGCATCTTGATCCTGGGGATGAGGATCCCCGATCCCAAGTGCTCCGGACAGCACCCCCTGAGCAGGGGACAGGAATGAGCTCCGCTGGCCCCCCTCCTCTCCCCCCACCCTGCCCTCACAGAAACGAGGCCTCTGGGAGGTTAGGGCAGCTGATACACAGGCCAGAAGCACCCTGGGCCGCCTGCAGATCGCCCCGCCCCCTGTGGACGCCCCGCCCCCTCACAGCTGCTGGACAGCCCCGCTGGGGGCCTGCCACGTGCAGGAGCCCCTCCCCCCAGTCCTTGCACTGTCCACCTACAGCACAGGAAAGGGGGGCAGGCAAGGGTGGGGAGCCAGAGAACTGGGGTCCCCAAAGACCTGGGCCTCTGACTCTAACTTATCTACGGCTCTGCAAAAGCGGACATGGTGCTGCTCCAGCTCTGAGACCTCAGCCCCAGAGAGTGGCACTGGGGCACTTCCTTAGAAAGCCGCTACACTCAACACCTACAGGGGAGTCTGTTCCCCACCCCTGTTTTCTGGCCCTGGGCACCAGGGCCAGCAGCCCGACCAAAGCCAAGGCCAGGAGGGACCTGAGAGATCAGGTCTTCTTGGCAACGGCTTAGAAATACAGCTCTGGGACAGGGGACCGTCTCTCTGCCTGAGCCAAGCGGACAAAGGCCCGCTCCCTGCCTACCCTGGCTGCCCAGTGCTCCCCCAGCAGGGTCCGGGGCAGCTCTCCCTGGTCAGACCCACGCTGCGGCGAGCGCATGGTCAAGGCCTAGGCGTCCACCAGCATCATCAGTCAGCGCCTGCTGTCCCCTGCCTCACACCTCCTGCCTCCTCAGCTGGGAAACACGGGGGTCTTCTCATGACCACCCCCAAGCAGAGCCGTGCCTTTCTCAAGGTCAGGTGCATTCCGTCACAGAGGGCCTGGAAGTAGCCTGGAAAGGGGCCCTTTGGCTGGAGCCCCCACCCTTGTCCCCGAGCCACTCTCTGCACTGTCTCAGACGCCCCACCAAACCCCGGGCCCGCAGCCCACCATAAGCCGCACGAAGGCGACACGGGAGCCCTGCAGGTTGGGTGACCAACCAACCCTGTGTCCCTGGATGCAGGGAAGCCGGCCGGCCGTCCCAGGCAGGCCCTGCAGGGCTGCTGGGCGGCAGACCTGGGGCGGGGGAGGGGCTTCCGCCCCTGTCTCAGTTCACGTGGGCATCTTCTCTGGGACCGGGCTGTCGCCGAGTGGTCTGGCTGGGGCTCAGGGTGGAAAGGAGGTGGCCCTGTCTGCCGGAGATGGGATGTTCTCTGCCCAGGGCCTTCCTTGACCAGATCTTGATCGAGCCAGGGCACAATGTGAATTTCGGAAACTGCTGTGGGCGCTGCGGATGGCCACCTGGGACAGGGAAGGAGGGGGCCACTGGGGAGGGAAAGGACAGGCTTGAAAGATTCCCACATGCAATGCCTACACCCCACCCCGAGCTAGACCAGCCACAGGCTCAGCTCAGTCCCAGGCCACGAGAGGAGCAGAAGCACCGCCTTCCCAGCTCCTACCGATTCAACAGCAGCCCTTTCAAGGAGTTGATTTCCGACTTGAGCTCACTGAGGTTCTGGGACTCCAGGATCCAGTTGGTGGATGTGGTGGCCTGAAAGCAGAAACACAGGGGAACAGGGATCAGGGTGGCTTGTCCCCCCTTCCCACCCAAGGAGCCCAGAGGACTGGGGCAGCAGGAGGGCTGGGCTTCAGGGACCCTGGGTGCAGCCAGGGTCACTCCATGTCCTGGGCACCAGCCTGGTGACACCTTGGGAAGACTCTGCCACTGCCCGCGCAGGGTCTGCCTGCATGGGACTCTGTTTAAACGACAAACATCCCCACAACTCTGACAGGTTGGCTTCCTGGAGGACAGACTAAGGACTCGGACGTGTATGCAGTGAGATGACGGCATTCTGATCACGTGAAACAAAAGGACCCAATGACAAGAGAGTCCGAATCACTCGGGGGTACAAACCCAAGTGTGTGCGGATTGTGTCCATGTGGGGAGGGGTGTGGGCAGGGGTGCACAGGACCGGCTGGAGCGGCAGCGGTGGCTGTGAGGGTCGGGGCTCACCGCGCGGCCCCTCTGCTGTGCGCGTTTGAAGTGCTCCGGCAGGACACGTGAACAGTCACCTCTAGCTTAGCCCCTCTCCCTGCAGAGCCGATCACGGCCCACGCAGAAGAGAGCTCAGGGGAGCCGCCTGGGAGGGGCAGGGAGCCCACCGCATCCAGCCCTGCCCGCCCACCCGCTGCTCCACTCAGTCACCAGCAGGCCCAGCAGACGGGCTTCAACCAGGGGCACGTCTCCCGCTGTTCAGAGGCCCTCGGCCCTGGCTCCGCGAGGCCGGGCCCTGAACCCCGCCCTGCTGTCTGCTACACCAGGCCACAGGCCCCCAGCGTGCTTTTGGCATGACCAGCAGGCTCAGCGAGGAAGCCGCCCTGGGACTCCAATTCCTCCCCCCAGCAGGGGCCGTGGAAGAAAGAGCCAAGTGACCCCGCCACACACACCCTCCCCTCTGAGTGGGGCGGCCCCCGTGTGAACTGCCCGCCTTTCTCTGGCAGACCCAGCTGGGATGGATGGAGGACGGGAGGTCTGTGGTCCCTCCCAGGGGCAGCGGGCAGTGGCCAAGCCGCCTATGAAGTATGAAGCGTTTATGGGCCAGATCCAGGTGGAGTGGCCGCAGGTGGGCAGGCCTGTGTCTTCCGGGCTGGAGGCCACTCTGGGGTGGCTTCAAGTGCACACATTAACCGAACAAGGTCCCTGCTTCCCTGGCAATGCTGCCCTGGCCAGATGCAACACCGCAGGAAGTTCAGGAGAAGGTGGGAGGCCTGGGCTGGCAGGTGGAGAGGCCCCCTGCTTCCCGCCCACCACGTGGAGCCCTGCACGCTTTCGCAGGAGGGTCCTCAGGGCTCGGGAAGAAGTAGCCCAGCAGTGTCAGAGCTCACACACCGACACCCACCGCCCGCAGGCAGCCCCCCAGGGCCCCCGCACCAGACCACCAGGCGGCACAGGCCCAGGAGCCGCTGTTCTGGCTGCTCTGAAACCTTGAAAGCCACAGCAGCCCATTAACAAGGGAGCAATTTCCACTCACTGGCCTACAAAGGACTCAAATTTCCAAACGCATACAGTGCCAGATGCCAGGATTTAGAAATAAAATCTGACATCTGGGGCTTTTTAGCCAGTCTCTTTAAAAAACAGTTGTAGAAAACTCCCAGCCTTCAGTTTTATGTAGGTTTTTTTAATTACTTAATGCTCTTCTTTTTAATTTTTTACAGTGCTGCAGTAGGAGCTTGGAAGCCAGATATAAAAACTTACATTACGGCTGAGAAAACACAGCTCCGTGTCTTCGGTTTATGGGGTAACCAGCCTCACACGTGTGGGTTTGGGCACCAAACCAGCGAGCCTCACTCCAGTGTAGGAGACATGGACCAAAGAGGCCGGGCTGGGTGGGGGACCCTCCGAAAAACACACATGACAGACCCGGGGGGGGGGGCTCTCAACCACCAGGCACAATCCCAGCCCCCTCCCTTCTTCAAATGCAACATGTGGTCTTAATCTTAATGGTGAAGGTCTGAGAACAGTTTTCTAATTTCCGGAATGGCTTCTGGCCATTAGCAGGCCACTGCTCCAAAAGATAATAGAGGAGCGTGGGGCAGGGCCTCACTGGCCTCTGGGTGCTTTACGGGCCACCCGTCCGAGGAGCATGGGCAGTGGCTGGAGGGGGCCACCCAGCAACTGCACCATCTGAGGAGGAAGTGCAGGCAGCCCCCCCATCTGGGGGTATCCGAGGAGGGGATGCTCAAGGACCTCTTCACAGGAGGCACCCCAGATTCCATGGGAAATGGAAAGACTCCCATTTTGCTGGGTTTTCGCAAACACAAAAGATGTGAGTGCTGTGCGCTGGGGTCTCTACCCCTGGGAGAGCCAGCAGAGCGGTCCTTTACCGTATCAGATTTAGGGGGGCAGCCCAAAGCCAACAGGAGACAGGGATGCAGCAGGGAGGACAGCAGACACCCCCTGGGCCCGGCTGCCCAAGACCAGGCCTCGGGAACAACCTTGTCACACACCCGCAGAAGCCAGGCCAGAGCCCGCAGTCCCGGGAGCCGACTGCAGCCGTGCATTGTCTTAAGCATGTGAAGACAATGAAGGAAGTGCCATTACGGCTCCATTTTACAGATGAGGAAACTAGGGCCCAGAGAGGCTAAGTAACTTGCCTGTTGTCACACAGCTGGCCTATGGCAGGGGAGGATATTCATCCGGGCAGTCTGACCCCAGGGTCTGACGTGACTAAGACAGCTTTAGGTTTCAGAAGAGAGCCACCACGGCAGCCGCCCCACCAACCCCAGCTGTCGCCAGACTCTGCTGGGGCCACCTGCCCTGGGCTTAGGGCCTCGCAGCAGAGTTCAGCCCAGTGCCTGGCACTCCCTCCACCCCTCCCCCAGGCACTCTTGGCAACTGTGACCTGTGACCTAACTTGCAAGTGGAGGCCGTTGTGTGTCCACGAGGTCCACCCCCAGAGCTAGGGCACGCGCTTCCACCAGAGGGCCAGCACAGAGCTGCTTCTCCTTCCTCCCACAGGCAGGTGACAGGGAGGGGAGAGAGAGAGGATGGCCTCTGTCACTGGAACTTCCTTTCTCTGCAAGAGCAGTGCGAGACGGCCCTGTAACCAACATGCAGGAAACAGCAGCCAGACCCATGGAACGTGGTGAACTGGACCAGAAGGACCAGAGTGAGGAGTCACGCCGGGCCGAGCCAGAGGGGCGGGGCCGGGGTCAGGACCGATACCTTGGCAGTGGCCAGCTCATGGGTGAGCTCCTGGACTTTCTGCTGCTGCTGAACCAGCAGCTCCTGGACGGAGGCTAGCGTCACCTGCAACTGAGTCACTGGGAGAGAAGAGAAGAGGCATCTGTTAAACACGCAGATTCTCCTTCTCACGGTGCCCACACACCTCAAGCTGCAGCATCTAATCTGTCCGCAGCACCTGCAGCCGTGGCCGCAACCGTCTGTCTGCTGGTGGGGCCAGGCACCTGGGTGGCGTCTCCCCTCTGTCTCTCTCCCTCATCTTTCCGCTGTGTCGCTGTCTGTGCTCAACAGCATGTCGTCCCAGAACCTCTCCCTTCTAATGACGCCTGCTGGCGACTCGCTGGGCTCCCCGGCTTCCGGAATGTCCGTGCCCCTCCTCTCCCAGGCCTCCCTGCGTCCTTGCAGAGCCAGTTCGAAGTCTCCGGTCCTGGGGCAGACGTGCCTCCGGTCCCACACCCTTGGTCCCACACCCTTCGGGGGTGGCTGGAACCCGCCCACCTGTGGCCCGCTGCTCCTGCCTGCCCCCCCCAACCCAAGCTTGAGGTGCTGGGGCTCCCGCAGCTCCTGCAGCCGTGTTGGGTGGCCTCGGGCCCACCATTCTGAAGGTGTGAGGGCTGCCGGGGACAGCAGCTCTCTTACTTGCCTGAGTTTTTAGATTCGGAGCCTCCCTCTAGTAAACAAGTTTATCGAGGAGAAAAGCCACCTCTGGCGCGACAGGTCCCAGCTAATCTAGGCCATCATTGGGGCTCTGGGTAATGAATGTGAGCCCCATGGAGTCGATGACAGAAGAGGTGGCCGGGGTCCCGGGAGCCACAGTAATTACAGCCTCTCTTGACCCTGTGTTGGATTCTTTGAGGGAAGGGGGAAAATAACTGAAAACCCCCCTGAAAACCTCATAGAAGCAGAAATTAAAAATGAACTTTACAGCCCTTAGAAAGGCTGTCATTTTATTCCCCTTATTAATATTCTGAGGTTGGGAGCCTTTCCGTAAAAACATAATTAATTGAGGCCGTGCCGACAGTAAACAAGCAATTTCAAATTAAACCGAAATGACGGCGGCTTCATTTGCAAATGTGAACAGATTCTCCGAGCAGATAAATGAAGTCACCACATAAAGTGGAGACGGAGGGGAGCGGGGAGGGGCAGAGAAGGGGCTGCTCCACGAGGGCTTTGAGGGGTGGCTTGATGGAGTCATTAATCTTTACCTGTCTGGGCCACGCTGCCACTCAGCTCCGAGAGACTCGCCTCCATCCGCTCCAGTTGCTTCCTGTCCTCCCGGCCGCCCATGATGAGGGGGAGCAGGTACTTCTGCAAGAAGAAGGGGGGGCAGGACGGATGGGTGCAGGTTCGGGTTACTGTCCGGCAACCTCTCATTCTGCAGACCGACTCTGTCACCCCCAGGTTTTGGAAACTTTCTAAGCAAACACCATAAATGAGCAAGATATTCAACAGTTATGAGGCTGAGTCCAACCACGTAAAAGCTGTCTGGATAAGGATGAGGACGACCAGGGAACAGGGATGAGTAAATTCCGTTTGATTTATTCTTATGAAAAACTTTTTGGTTCTTCTACTTAGTTTTCTTAGTGGTGTTATACATACCATTTCTGTAATGAAAATATTTAAAAGTCTTAAAGTCTGTAAGACACCAATGTACAAGGTCACGCAGGAAAGTGACACTGTTGGTGGCGGCTCCAGGGAGGGTGAGGGGCGCCACTTTGTACACTTTTCTGGAGCTGTCACACTTGGAACCGTGTGAGTGAGTTATCCACTCAGAAAAGGATGAGGAAAGTTAAATAAATAAGAAGTGACTTGAGAAGCTAAATGAGCACCCACAACACAGCTCTGGGGCCTCTGGCTCTTCTACTGGACGGACGGACGTCCTGAGGCCATCGGAGAGGCCGCCTTGGCTTCTTCTAGACTGAGCTCGGCACCCTCGGAACAAATGTCCTTCAGCTCCGACTCAGACGCAGCCAGATGCCCCCAAGGCCCAGGAGCAGAAGGGAGGGGAAGGGGCAGAATCTAAAGAAACTGACAAGGGGGGCAACAGAGCTAGAGCCCCCAAGTGCGGGGAAGCCAAACTGCGAGGACGAGGTCTCGGAACATTCAGGAAGAAGGCAGGTGGGGGCAGGGCTGGGGACCTGGCGTGAGACCAGCTGCCAACAGCAGCATGAGGGAGCGTCGCGCAGCCTGGCGTGACCAAGGGGAACTTGGGTTCTTTTTCCACTTGGGCCCCAGACAGGATGGGGGAGGGGAAGAAGGTTTCTCACAGGGTTTGCGGGACAGCGCGTTCCAAGCGCGGCTCCTCAGTGGCACGCATCACCTAGCATATGCACAGCGCAGAGGCATCTTCTGTTTTGCAAAGTGCTTCCCCACCACTGAGTTATTACTGCAACTGAGCTGAAACTCATCACATGTAGCTCTACACTCCAGGTTGAAAACTTCCTAAGTATAAAAGTCAAGAAATTCTTACACACGTAACAAAGAATTCCATTTCTGAGATCAGGGAAGGGACACACACTGCCCAGCCTAAATTTCCACATATTTATAAAATACGGATGACAGCACACCTCTCCCTCTTCTTGAATTAAACTATCAGCAGATGCTTTAGAAAGTCTCCTTACACCATTCTGCCTGATGTCTCAATGCCTCTTTTTTAAAGCAGAGAGAAGGGATCGCAGCTTCGTGGAAGCAGCGGACCCTGCTCCCCACTCCCGTCGGACCCCGGGCCACCTGCGGGCAGCCGTGCGACGGCTCGGTGTGCGGCGTGCAGCCTGGACGCTCGTTTCCGTGTCTGGTTCTTCCTGGTGACAGCGTGGGTCAGTGAGGGGGAGAGGCCTTCCGCACTCAAGAGAAGGGGAGGCACTGGTCTGGGGGGACAGCCCAGGACACAGAGCATTTTGCTTCTGGACTTCTGACTCGGGAATTTCCAACTCCAAGAATAGATCTTACCTTGGAAAAAATAACTTCTACCATTCGGTCATTAGCTTTGGTACTAAGTCAAAAATTAAGAATCCCAGAGAATGCAATGTTGAAACGCATTTCATGTGCTGAAGGTTACAGCAGTGAGCCTGGATGATCACGAAGAGTCTTTAAAAAAAAAAAAACACCTCCATGCAACAGGTGGGGTAGCAGGTGGCCTCACACAAAAAAAGGCTTCTCTCCCAGACCAGAGGTGAGTAAGTCCTCTGGGGCCCCCCCTGGCTCCGCACCTCCTAGAAAGGCTCATCTGCTTCCATCGAAGTCGGACCTAGTAGTGAGTGCCGCAGGGAGCGAGTGAGTGCTCCCCCAGGCCCCGCGGCTCTGCTGTGCCACTACCTCTGGGTCCTGGGGGCACCCGGGAGTCACCTGGTGCCGGCACAGTGTGCAGGAGACTGGAAAGTAGACCCCACACATAAGGCTCTACGGGGTCGCCCTAAGCTGGTCTCAAACAGCAAGGGAGGAAAACCGGTGCAGGTGAGCACGTCCTACATGCCAGGCCACAGCGCGGCCCCAGGCCGTGCCTCTGAGCTTCACAACAGCCTCATGGGGAAGGTGCCATTGTCCCCATTTCACAGATGAGGCCCCTGAGCCTGTGGTCACATGTCCATCACAAGGCAGAGCCAGGAGCAACACTGGCAGCTGGGCTCCACTGCCCATGCTCGTCACCACCTTGTCGCCCTCATGTCCCTCAAGGGCAGGGCTGCTCGGCACGTGCCGGGCGCTGTTCCAAGAACTTGACATGGCTCCCGGGTCGATGGGCCCAAGTCATCCCGTGGGGACTCCGAGTCCAGTGGGCGAGGAGGGGTCTGTGCCTGGACTGGAGCCTGCAGTGAGTGTTCGTCAGGACAGTCGGCCTCTATGCACAGTCCTGCCCCTGCCACGGTGCCGGGGGCGGGGCTCCGGAGAGGGCAGGCTGGCGCTGGACGCCTGGGGGCCGTGGGGAAGGCAGACTCACCTTGTAGAGCTGGTGGAAGCCGAAAGCAATTCCCGCCATGATGATGGCCAAGGCACTGTAGTCTCTCCACCGGGAACCCACGGGGCCTGGGGGTGAGAGAAAAGGCGCCTCAGGAGGAGAGGCCCGCGCACCCTCGCCCAGGGCTGGGGCAGGCACAGGCTCAGTGTGCTCGTCTCCAAGGACCGAAGCTCCAACCGCAGGACACAGTGTGACCGTGAGGGACACAGGCCAGACGCGTCTCCCCGCCCTCTCCAGGCTCTCGGAACTGCTGCCTCCACGTGCACCGGCTGTGTGGTGCCTACAGTGAGCTGAGTCCTGGCTGCGAGTCAGGTGGCAGGCAGCGTCCACTCGAAGGGCGGAAGGGATCCGCCAGGCTGACATGAACACACCCGGATGCACACACATGCACACCCACGAGCCCTGCTACAGACAGGGCTGCGCTAAGAGCCACTTCAGAGCAGGGTGAGGGGATGGAGACTGTGTGCCCGACAGTGTGGAAGGCCCGGAGGGGTTGGGGCAGTGGTGACGAGGCCCCCTGCCCTGTCTCGCTCTGCTTTCCCGCTGACCGGTGAAGAGGAGACAACCTACAGGTGACAGAACAGGCTAACTCCAGAGTGATGCAGAGGCCAAACAGGGCGACAGGAGAGTGGGGATGGCAGGGTAGGGGCCGGGAGTCTTTGGCAGGGCCTGGGAGGAGGCACATGTGAGACCCTCACGTCCCAGGGAAAGCAGCCCAGGGCACAGGCAACTGCAAAGGCAGCTCAAAGGACAGAAGGCGGCCAGCGCCTGGGCCTGGCCGGGCAGGGAGAGGGGCCACAAAGGCAGAGCTGACCGAGAGCATTCCCCAGGGACCCCAGGGTTACTCACAAGCATGGGGCGGCCCCGAGGGCAGGCTGCAGGCAGGACGGGAGTGGGAGGGGGCTACTGTCTGGGGCCACAAAGGGAAAGAGGGACCGGGCCAGGATGCACCAGTGCCAAAGGGTCCCAGGCGGCTGTTGTGGGGGAGTCCCCCAAACGAGCAGCCACCCTTCATGAAGGAGCAGGCTCCTAGCCAGTGCCCTTCAGAACAGCCCATCTGAAAGCTCCCTACAACTCCAGCTTCACAGGAGGGCAGGTTCCAGAGGGTTCCCTGCTACACATCCGGTCCCCTGCACCAATCTCAAAGGGCTTCCATGCCCGTAACCTTGTATGGTGCCCCAGCGATCCAGACTCCTCCATGGGCTCTGCTGCTGGGGACACGTGGGCCGCTGTCCCCTGAACTGCTGGCGGGGCACTGATCAATGTGTGGGAGCAGACCACAGTGCCCATGGGGAGTGACCCAGAAGGCACCACCTGAGGCAGGCTGCTGTGACAAGGAGCCGGGACGGAGGGGGAGGGAGAGTGGCGACATCCGAGTCTGAGCACCCACCGCACTCAGCTGAGCACGGCCGCGTGGCGGCTCCTTTAGGACAGATACCCATGTGCTTCAGCACCCCACCCCACCCCCTGGCCTGTAAGCTCCTCAGGCACCTGCCACTTCCTGGCATTTCCTGACCCCAGGGGAGTAGGGGCTGCTGGCACGCAGCCCACCAGCTGACCCCAGGGGACCCAAGTGGCACAGACCCCCAAGGGGGCGAAGGAGACGCGCCCTCCTCCCTGAGCCTCAGGATGACAGGAGTCTGGAACAGTCTCTTTTTGGCCCCCACACCCCTCCCCGCTCTGCCAGCCCGGCCTGTGGGCTCCACGTGAGTTTCCCAAGGTAACCCAACCCTGCTGCTCCCGCAAAAAATGCAATCAACAGGTGGCCTCGCCCACAGCCCTGAACTTCGTTTTTGGTTTCACAGTGGCTGACGAGGTGGCACAGGCATCGGTGTGACCCAGAGGCCGCAGTTGGTCCACTGCCGACAGGCCCCCCCCAACCGCTGCAGCCGGTGGCTCCTTATCCACTCAGCGGAGGAGTGTTTAGCACATACGCGGTGACACAGGCCGCACTGGTTTCCTTCTCTCCTCCCCCATCTCTCATTCCTCCTCTTCTTCTCCTACAGCTGCTCAGTATCCCACTGAGTCAATTCCCTTCTGACGGACCTTTGAGGATTCCAGCCTTTGCTGTGTCACACACGGCGTCCTGCCACGCGGGACTGCACATACGTGCAGGCACATTTGCACCACGAATGCCCAGGAGGCTGGGTCAGGGGTGTGTGCCCCACCCCCACGGGCTGGGCCAGGCCGGGTCACGCCCACAAGCCCCGGCTCCCTCCCGGCACCGGGCACGGTGGGTTCACTCAGCTCCAGACTGCAGCCAGCACAGGAGGAGGAGAACAGCGCTTTCTCCAGTTCTCATTTTTTAAAGACTTTATTTATTTATCTTTAGAGGGGAAGGGAAGGAGAGAGGGAGAGAAATATCAATGTATGGTTGCCTCTCATGAGTCCCCTGCTGGGAACTGGCCTGCAACCCAGGCACGTGCCCTGACTGGGAATTGAACCTCGATCCTTTGGTTCGCAGGCCTGCACTCAGTCCACTGAGCTACACCAGCCAGGGCTCATCTGCATTATCTTATTAGGAGTGAGGACAGAGCGTCTTTTCCTTTGTGTTTCCTTTCCAGTGTACTGTAGTTCTACTCCATTTCTTTACTAATTTGTAGAAACTTTTTACATGGCAGGGAAATGAGCCTTCTGTCCATGACAGGCGTTACAACATTCTTTCCATTCATTTTCCTTTTGACTCTGCTTTCTGGTATCTGTGGCTTGCCGCTGTTTTTCACTTTTATATAAATGTATCAACCTATCTTTGCATGGAGCCAGGTTTGGTTTGCAGCGAGCCGGGACTCCCCCCCCCCCCCCAGGCTGTGACGCTCGGTGTCCCGTCTCGGGAGCCCTCTCCCGGAGGCTCTGCTGCTCTGCCTGGCAGTGAGGTCCCACCTGGCAGGAGTCTCCGCAGACCAGCACCGACGACCGCCTGTTCGGTGGAGCCCGGAGGCTCTGAGTCCCTGGCCTTCCGCTCATTCCTGACTTCCTCTGCTGGGGATGCCTTGTTGCAAATTCCAACATCGAGTGCAAGTTCATTTTTACGAGGAAGAGTGAAACCTTTTTACTGGGCGACCTTTGTGCTCTTCCAGACAGCAAACGTTCATGAGAGCTTTCGCCCCTCTCAGAGCATCCGTCTATGCAGCCAAAATCCTCAGAGCAAGCATCTTCAAAACTGGCACATGTCCAGAGTACCTCATCCACCACCGTCCAATAGCTCAAACACCTGTGAAATACCTTACCAAAGAGCAGCTGCAACAAAAAACTGGACCGGAACCCAGAGTGTGCCGGACCCTCCTTTCCTGCAAACATGTCTCACCCTGAGAAGCACAGCCTCTCTCACTCGGTACCGGAGCGACCACGGCTGAACAGAGGCCGGCAGCTCCGGGTCCGAGGACCAGAACCCCCGCTGGAGCTGACCCAGCCTTTCCGGGGCTCCGACCTCCTCGAACACCAAGAAACACCTGTGGCCCCTGCCAGCCCCACCCTTCACCCTGCACGGCGCCACGTTCCTGCCATGCTCGCAGTAAGAACATTTTATTGCGCCCTGGTTTTCATTATTAATGAAAAGGGACCAGAGTGATCTTTCCTAAAGTTCAGAGAGTCTATAAAGACAAGGAGCTGAAATGCCATTTTACTCGTTTTGGAGATGTGTGATACAACTCTGTCTTGTGGCGAAATGAAAAAAGGGAAAAACTAAGTTGCAGACAACTCCTACCCACTGCAAACCTTTTGACAGAGCTGCTGAGGAACCGACTGGCCCGGCCCTCCAGCTACAACCGCCTGGAGTCCGCCCCACCCCCACTGCACCCCCACGAGAGAACAGCCAGAGCGCCTGGGAACAACCTGCAGCTGTAAGCGCCGCTCCTGCCACCACGCTCCCCAACCGTCCAGAGTCGCACAGTCCAGGGCAGACACTGGGGCCAGGCTTCTGCTTGGGCTCGGGAGTGAGGGGAGTGAGGTGCGCTGCTGGGACACTCCGGGCCACCAGTCTGGACGCGGACACCAGTGGACAAGGCGGACGGGGCCCGGAGCCTGCGGTCAGACCCGTCATCACACCCCGCCCAGTGGTTCTCCCCGTCCTCTTCTCGTGGAGTGCGGGCCGCCCAACGGGCGGTGGCAGAGCTTTGCTAGGTTTAAAGAGCCCAGGAACAGGGACGCCTGTCACCCAGATCCACACTCTCCATGGCACTGCCACACGGGACCTCAGCCGAAAAGTCAAGAAGCAATTCCAGAGCACTTCCCAATACGCAGGACTAGCCAACTCGCTGAAGGGCACAGCACTTTGCCACACAGGCCACCAGTGTCTCGGGAAGGACAGAGAGGCGACGGTGGCAGCAATCTTACCCCAAACCACTAGGCATTCCTGGGACTGCCCTCTGCCTTAGGCTGTGGCGAGGTCAGGGGACAAGCTGCCTCGGGGGAGGGGTACACAAGGCCCTTTGAAACGCAACGCCTTCCCTGACGCTCCACAGTGCCTGTCACCAGGCTGGAGCTCTGACAGTGCAGAGGTTCCCGGGTGAATCCGCGGGCGGCAGCCATGCCAGGGGAAAGAGCGCGGCCCCCGTGGCTCCTCACCCTCACCGAACACCAACAAAACCAGCGTCACTCAACTCCTTTCTCTGCGTCTCCCAAGAAATTCTCACCCGACGGGTGAGAACAAGCACCGTGGGGCACAGGAGTGGGGCTGGAAACCACCTAGTCAGGGACTCGCTGACACCACAACCCAGGCAAGAGCTGTCATACAGAGCTGAGCGCTGCCACCGAGCCATCCTGTCGAGACACCTGAGACAGCCCAGTGCCCACTGACGCCGGGAGGCGCAGAGGGCAAGGCGACCAGGGGACCCTCCATTCTCACTCAGGCAGGAGCCCCAATAACCTCACAGTGGGGAGCCTGGCTCCACTGAAAAGCCGCCCTGAGCACTAGCTGGTAAGACTGGCTCGTGCACAGTGAGGCCCTGGAAGAGTGCCAGGCCGCCAGGTCGGTGCTTGTTATAGCAAAATGCACGGCGAGACAGTGACCAGCTGAAGGGCACCACACGCTGAGCGTCGCAAGGCTGGCAGCGGTCAGAAAGGCAACCCA